AAAAGCTTGTGTGCTGTTGTTGGCAACAGCGGAAGAAAAGGTTTGCTGTTGTTGGCAAACATTGCAAATATATATATATATAAAATAAACCATTAAGCGTTGTCAGCTGTTGGGAAGCATGTAATAAAACGAAACATTTGCCGTTTCTTGGCAGAATGCAAATTATAAGTACAAACAAACAAAAAATATTAAGCGTTTGCAAGTTGTTGGATACATGGCAAAATTAAAAAAAAAATAAAAAAACAAAACGTTTGCTGCCGTTGGCAAACATGCAGAAGAAAAGGGATTGCTGTTGTTGGCAAACACGCAAAAACAAAGCGTTTTGCAGGTTGTGGCAAACATGCACACTTCAAAAAAAAAAACCTTTGCTGTTGTGGCAAAACATGCAGAAGAAAAGAGTTTGCTTTGGTTGCAACATGCAAAACAAGCGTTTTGCGTCGTTTGGCAAAAACATGCACACTTAAAAAAAACCTTTTGCTGTTGTTGGCAAAACATGCAGAAGAAAAAAGTTTGCTGTTGTTCAATCGTGTGCAGAAAAGCGTTTGCTGTTGTTGGCAAACATACAAAAAAAGCGTTTGCTGTTGTTGGCAAAAACAAAACAACGAAAAGCGTTTTGCTGTCGTGGGCAAACATAAAAAAACAAGGTTTTGCGGTTGTGGTCAAACATGCCACAACTCAAAAAAAAAACCTTTTTGCTGTTGTTGGGCAAACATGCAGAAGAAAAGAGTTTGCTGTTGTGGCAACATTGCAAAAACAAGCGTTTGCTGTTGTTGGCAAACATGCCACCTTAAAAAAAAAACCTTGCTGTTTGTTGGCAAACAGAGAAGAAAAAAAGTTTGCTGTTTTTGCAATCGGGCAGAAAGCGTTTTGCTGTTGTTGGCAAAACATACAAAAAAAAAGCGTTTGCTGTTGTTGGCAAACAAACAACGAAAAGCGTTTGCTGTCGTGGGCAAACATACAAAAAACAAGCGTTTGCTGTTGTGGCAAACATACAACGAAAAGCGTTTGCTGTTCGTGGGCAACATACAAAAAAAAAGCGTTTTGTTGTTTGCAAACATTAACAACGAAAAGCATTGCCTGTCGTGGCAAAACACACAAAGAAAAAAAAAAATATAAAAAAACCTCTTGTCTTGCTTTCTCTCCCCTCTTCTCTTCACCAATAACCTCCTCCCTTAGTAAGGTTAGGGCAAGAGTCTCCTCCAGTTACAGGTTTTTCTAAGTCAGTGTTTGATGGGTGTAAACATTGTCATGTTTTTTGTGGCGGGGTAAAAAACTGAGGCAGTTTTTTCCCTGGAATCAAACACCGACCATAAAATTGCGTCATTGCTCAGGCAAGACAAGGGCTGATGCACCAAAAGCCCAAAATGTTTTTCCTGAGATTAGGGTGTTGTTTATCATAACTAAGGGGCCCCCGCGATGGAATTAATCTTGATTAAACTGATGCAAAATTTTTGTGTTCTACAAAAACACGAGCATTGGAAATATCAATTTCTCGATGATTGTTGGAATAATCTTTGTTAAATTCAGTTGGAATAATCATTGTTAAAACAAAACAAGTTTATACCCCACTTAAACCATGTTACCAATGCATTTAGTTCTTTGTTGCTTGCGAGCACTTGATCTCCACACTGCAAGTTTTGGGCGGGGCCCGGGGCGGGTTATTGTTTAAGACAGTGCCTGGTAGCAGACCAGAAGGATGAAGGCTGGAACATTTGATAACTGATGCATTGGTAGAAATAAAACCAAAAAACCCTTTTGAAAAAATCGAGAAAGAATAAACCGAGAAAAGATTCTTGCATGCAAAATAAACATCGTCATTTCGATCCTTTAAATAAATCCATGAAAACTAAATTTAAATCCTAAAAGATACTTCAAATTACTTTGCATCGATTCATTCTTGGGTGTTTCGTACTTTTTCTGTAAATACAAAGTCTGCGAGACAGGTCATAGAAACAAAATAGAGAAATTTCGTAAAACCCTAAAAATTTCTAAGTTTAAGCAAGCAGGCACAATATCATTTAATATTAAAGTCTATCGCGGAGAGCTTAAAATAGCTTCAAGTTCCTGGAATTAAAACAGGAGCCTATCAAATTTGATAACGTCGAAGTTTCTCCTACGAAGAATTTCAGAGAGTGTATGCCGAAAAGTCTTCTCAGCATTAAATAGTTGCACGTGCGCAGAAGTGCACCAGGCTGTCTTTTTTAAGGCAACAATCTATTGCCTTCTCTCAATTGTCTATCACCACCATGTGCATTAGCCAGCTTCATAGATTTCCATGCTTCATCAAAATTCTACACAATATGAGGCGTGCAGCATGTTGATAACACCACCAATCAGCTTGTGAATGGCCCACTTAATTTGACTATGGACTTCACAGATGTATCATAAAGCCATTTTTGAACCGTTTATACTAATTGAAACAGCTTTCGTGGCCGACCCTCCCGTCTTTTTGCGATCTTTAAACTTTCGCATCTGCTTTTCAAATCTGTCCATTGATTTCTTCGAATTCTGCAAAAAATTCGAGACAACATTATCAGGAGTAAATCAAAACAAAATAAAGGTGTAGTGCTTGCGTGCGACCAAGGATCCAACTTGTGCCACGCCACAAAAATTTGCAACCACAATTCAACTGGCGATCGTGCTCTGATTGACTTACAAATGCAAGTCCCTGCACCCGTTACCCGATTTCAGTTCTCCCGTGACCTTAACATTGAAACCCCCCCCCCAACCCCCAATTCAATCAGAAAATTGCACATTAATCCGACGGTGATATCTGCCTTACACCCTGAATAATGCCCCGTTGTCCATGATCTGCAGTGCGCGATTAATTCAAAGTAGCTTGTCCAGTCGTATTGTAGACTAACTGCTAATATTGTGCACAGTCAGCAGATGCACAAATTCGAGCAAACACATTCAGGGATTTAAGTGAATAATTCCCGGATTTAAATGAATAAATTTTAATATACCTTCAACTAATATGACATCCAATCTTATTTATGTAGTCGGCTTAAAATGCAACAGCGCTCGCGAGAAACATGCGAAATGACTCACCTTCATAGTCCCCATCATATCACCTAAACCACCGACATCCGATTTTGGCCTTATGACGTAATCCTTTGTTGATGGTCTCGGCACACGGGCTCTTACAATGAATCCCTTATCACCAGGTCTTCGCGGTCTAGAGGATGATAACAAGTAAAACAAAATCAAAATTTAATAAAGCTCTACAGGGGCGCCTGCTCAAGATTAGGGCAGGAGGGGCAGTGCTGATGCTGAGGGCAAATCGTGCTGAGGGAATTTTTCTACTAACATGATCGAGTATTCCTGGTTTGGGGGGGGGCGGTTTATTATGAGGGTGGTGATTGCCCGCTAAGTTTTAATACCGATTTATCCTTTTTTGGTTTGAAGCACACTGCTGGAATACTTCTTACGGTAAAGGCAAGTTCAAATACGGCAACCCAACTGAACCTATACGGTAGCTAGACATATACCAAACATGCGATTATGAAATGCCTCAGTGCGATTTACAATGCAAAAGCATAGCACATAGACAAACTGTGTATACCTTTTCTCATCTTGAGAACCGTCCCCAGCATACTCATCGGTAGAACTAGAACAAACAAGAACTGCCGTGAAAACGTGCGAAAAAGAGCAAAATAAGAAACAGTGTAACCACGAATATAGGCTTATATACGTCATTCATCAAAGTTTGAGATACAATTATTGATACCCACTAATATTTCATAGTTTTCAAACAAAGTCTTGCTAATAGCACGGCGGAAAGAGTCAATAACTTTAAAGACATTCGATCAGATTTGGCATTTTCAAATTGTTAGTTCCACGAAAATGAAATGAAGATGCAGCTGCTAATGTCCAGAAACTGCATAATAAGAGAAAAACTGCACCGACTTTTTAATAAATTGATTAATTTACTAGTAATACCTTAATCTCCTCTTCTTGTATTCAACTGCATTTATTTTGTCTCTTTCCTCTCTCTCTTCTCTGCTAACATCTTTGAAATTAGTTTGCACTCCAAAGATGGGCCTTGCCCATTGTGCTAGAACATCGAATGATCAACATTTAGTGCTTATAGAATTTTAATTATTTTTTTCTTGCAGGTTCACTGTCAGTTTGATTCCAATTGATGGAGACAAGCTTTCAAAAACAACTAGATGCAAGCATGGCCATAATTCGGTGAGCTGTTGCAGAAATGGCTTCCAAATTACAAATAATCACAGACCTTGAAAACGAAGGCCTTTTTATACAATCTTAAAACTATTCAAGTTTCTATTTTCAATGTACCATGAAGCAAGCAGGTACATACCAACTATTTTTCCAGCAAGGTTTCTGTTTTCTCTTGTTTCTTTTGGATGTTTGTAGAGAAGCATGACCGCCCTTCCGATGCCGCTCATTTTCAGCGCACCCGAATCTAGTGCTGGGAACTGTTAATAAACATATCCATTGTTATATACATAATGTTACATAGATAATATACAAGAGGTTATAAACAAATTTACATTTAAAGGGTCTGTGTATTCAATTGCGAAGTAAACTATGATAAAGGTAGGAAAAAACAACATAAATAACACAAAAAACAAGCATTATAGATCGTTTAAAAAAAACCATCTATTTGATAACATCAGAAGTTTTCATCAGTATTTGATAAACCAAAAGAACTTTCAGGAAAAAATAAAGTTTAGGTGAAAAATATGTTAACGATATTTGTCACACAGAATACGTGAGAACTTTCAGCTCCCTCCAATGTTTTAAAACCATCACATTAAAAATATACCAAAACCAATTCAGAACACATTGATGAAGAATAAACATTAAGGAAACTTCAATGCCAAAACGTGGAGTTAGTTGGTATTGTTATCAAGCATAATTACACCAAAACGAATTGACTGCATACCTCTGAAAGTAGTTTTAAAAACTGTTTCCTAATCATTATATGAGGCAAGGAGTTATCAGGCAAAGGAGAAAGCCATTCCTGACAAAGAAAGAAGATTCAGTAAATAAATTAAACAAACAATACGATGAATTGTTGAAGTAATTCTTCGCTAGTTTCAGGTTTAATACGAATGTGAGATTGAACTGTTTGATTACGATTGTGAGATTGAGCTGTGAGATGGAATTTGAGATGGAACGTAAGATCGAATTTTATCAACCCTCTATGTACTTGCTATAGAAAATCACTTATTTAAACAACGCCAATTAAAAATGTGAATAAAAAACCAGTTTCATTAATTGAAGCCCAAAATGATTAGCATAATTGAAATAGATGAAACAAGATGAAGCATAGATGAAACAAGACTTTCCAAATTGATTTGTTTAATAATGAGGCATCTGCAACAAGGCGTCTTTCCCTAGCTTAGATTCCTTGTATTCACTACGTATGATGCAGTATTTTAGCACGCTGCTTTAAATTAGATTTTAACTGAATAAATGGGGGTCAAAATTATACATGAGGCGTAGCTGTGTGCTTTTACCATTTCTTAGAACTGTTTGATTTCAATCTCAACATACTTCTAGCTTCCATTCTGTATTATTTACGATTTGTGAAACGTTAATTACTACTCTTGATGCGAGGTGCACCAAAATTTCCTTTTTTATATTGTGCTGTAATTTAGTAGCAATTTAGTTTTTTGTGAATGCAATTTATGCTACTATGAATGCGGGCTAAAAAATACAGCCAGGGTGAGCTGAAAGTATCAATTACAAACAGGCTGTTACATAAAGACAAGCAAAGCAACCGAAAAAGATAAATAATACCTTCATCACAGGTAACACACCACCATCAATAAAAGTATGCTGCAAGTCGGCTCTAAAAGAAGACACTCGAGACTCAATACCATAACTGTTAATTTAGTGGCAATTTTATTGAAACGACTTGCGTCATGCAAACAAATTAAGAAATGACAATAGCAACGGAAACAATTATTTTGATTATGATGATGATGACTGCAAATTGGCAAGGAATATGTTTATTTGGATAAACTATATATCATCAAACTAACTTGTTCAAATGTGATACAACACTGTCCAGCATTTTTAACTTTTTTGTTGCTGCTCGTCCAGCCTGATTCAACAAACGATCCTCCTACAAACAAGAAATTAATTAAAAGCTTCCTTAATCTATAATAACCTTAACAAAGTTGGTGGACAGGGCTTTACGTTGCAGCAGCACAATTCAAACACAGACTAGAAATATCAATCAAATTTTTGGATTGAGATAAGGTACTTGTAGGTGAATTTGTAGGTCGAGAATAGGGAAAACGTAACCTTGGGAATTTCGACCTCATTGATAGGCCCTAGGGATACTTTCGCCTTGATGGATTTCAATTGGCCCCCCCTTTGAATTGGTCTATAAATAATTTTAGGTTTTAAGTGCCTTTTGCAGTGGGAACTAGATGATCACATGTCTTTGCCACTGAGTAAGGCACAAGTAATTTTATATATTGTTTTAATTTTTTTTCTAAAAAACTTCTTTGAAAGCCAATTTCATCCAATAGCTAAACCTAGGAAATACAATGAAATTTAATGCCTTATGTCTGTGAAATACAATCAACAAATCAAAAAATAGAACACAGTGAAGTGAAACTGAACACAATTGCTTTAACCGATTTGCAACTAGAAAACATCATCTCTACAATTTGAAGCGATGTGTTTTAACGAAAAGTTTGGTAGTCAAAAAATGCACCAACTGAAGTAAAGCTCACGTTCACCCTTGTGGAAGGAAATCGCTCAGAAAGATCCTTGTGAGAAAGATGGTTATTCGGAATACAGTTGTCTGTTGACTATTTGAAATTATATTTGAGTACGGTTTTGTAGAAAGAAAATGATTGGACAAAAAGAAACAAAACATAAGAAATTTCAAAAGCAAAAGTTGCAAAAAGGGAACTTAATCGAAATCACAAAAATGGAACGTTAAATGTACTTAGCAGGATGTTTTCTAGTCGTTATCTACTTAATCTTGATTAACTATTTTCATAATATCAAAATGCAAGAATTTTTTTCAACAACAAAATCATAGAAAACAGCATACCTCTGCAGCTTCTCTCATATTCCTGATCATTGCAGCAATGATGTCGTCATTATCATTAATTATTTCAAAATCCTGTGAATCATATTCAAAATAGTTGAAATTAGGTGGATGACATTACAAACAACCAAGTTTATCTAAGCAATGGTCGGTCCCAAGCATCCGATTCGGGTCCATTCTTTGCCATTTTATCGTTTGAATAGTGAGATCCTATAGACGTATATTGAGACCTTGTAGATTCAGAACAAAATTAAAAATAGTCTGAAGAAAATTATACCAAAAATACAGTGACTTTGGTGGTAATCAATATTAACAGCAAGCTCCTTGCAAATCTAGTAGACACTAGCTCAAGGGTATTTCTGGGTTAAGCAAATCAAACTTCTCAATTTTTTATTCAGGCAACATATGTTGTTAAAATAGTCACTTGAAAATTATAAAGCTAAAGGTTATATGGAGCAAAATTTCTGGATTTGCATTGGTCTACCTCAGCAAACAACAAAATTTTAGAGTAGATTCACCTTTTATATTGCTAGTTTAGTTATATGCATTTTAGTTCTCGGACAATGAATTCAAAAAGACAATTTTCAAATAGATTTCCACTAGGGATGATGCTGCATAATTGGCAATGCTTCCTGCAGTCAAATCATTTAGAAATGAACTGGTATAGTTGGAAAGTTAGTCGTACCCTTTTCCTTCGTCTGCGACTGCTCATGGCCTATAAAGAAATGTTTATATATAATTCTTCACAACAAGAAAATGAAACCTCAATGTAAATCTCATTAGAGATTCCTCTAATATTTTCATTTATTCAAATCCAAGTTTTGCAATAATAGCTTTACTTTGTTTATGATTTGATTAAAAAATATATGAAATGCAATCATAGAAGTGTGAAGCTGGTTACTTTGATTTAATTGTAAATATAGGAAAATTTATAAAATTCTGAATTCAATATAATAATAAAAAGTCTCCAAGACCCCTTATTATTTAGAAATCGCCTAACATACCTCCTTTTTTCTTTGCATCATTAGGTCAAAATCTGATATCATTCTAAAAGATAGAAACAAAATGATATTGCCAGACCTCACCCTTCTCATTCAATTTTGTACTTTGGGTTTTAAACAAATGATCTTAAAGGTTGATTTTAAAAGTTATCTTTTTCAGGAAGGAAATTTATTAATATTAAAGAACAGATTGAAAACAGCATCTGATTAAATAAGTTTCTTATGTATATATACTGTGTATATTAAAAAAAGGTATCATATGTAATATCTAATAGATCTTTACGGTAAAATAGACCCCTGCATATTTCTTCAAGTTTCATAATTAAATATTGTTATATCTCTTGGAGGCTAATAGAGTTTATCATATTGGTGAAATAGCATTTCTGCAGTTGTTCTTAAATGTGTGTTGACATTTTTAGGCACTTCAAATAGCTAACATGTCATCATCTTGAAGAAAAAGCAATTATATTTATAAACAATCTTTTTGTGGTACAAAAGTTAAAAATGGCTTTAAAAAAGCAAACATTAGTAAACTAAAGCTTTTCGTCTGACAATTCCCAAAACCCAAAGGCACTCTTCAGAGTTTAAAACGTCAGAACATAGACCGAAAACTCCACGCTAGGAAATAAATATACCCAGTTGTGGATTCAAATAGGCCAATCAGAAACTTGAGCACATGACTGTTGAGGTTGACCAATCAGTGCTGCTTGCCTATAGAGAATGTTACCAATGGAGTCCTAAGGTGGAAACGAACTCCTACTGTCTACACAAAAGCTTTTTTCATGTTTATATAGATAGATTCCAAAACTGCTGGATGGAATGAAGATCAGGTTTGCTAATAATCCGAAACATGTCGCTATTATAGTTTTTTGCACACTCTAGGTTCTTCAGTAATGCTCCCCGATAGCGGAATCACATGTTTTACTAGCCTTTTTATCTGCAAGAATGAGGAGGCTGCTCTCTTTAGGGAAGAGTTTTTTTTCTAATGCTGGAAGGGACATACTGTTTTATTCTATCCCCCAATCTTTGAGAAGTGCATTCTATGTAGACAGAATTGCACTGGCAAGTAAACTCATAGATAACTGAACTCATTTGAATGGTAGGAACGCAATCCTTTTGAATGGATAGAAGGGCCTTTTTGTATTGTGAGCAATATGTGGATTCACAGCAAAGAAACAATTTGTAATGGCCTGTTTTATCTTGCTTTCAAAATGCAAGGAACTGGTACCAATCCAGGGCAGTTTTAGATAAACCAGGCACATTTGCAGGCCAAATTTTTTCTAGCTGAGAAACTTGCGATTTTCTCCTTAATGTAAACCAAAATGAAATTCTCTGGAAAGCCATTCTCTAGAAAAATCTTTTTTAGTTGTTCAAGTTTTGAGTTGAGTTTAGACTGGGAACAAATCACCAGTGCCCTATAAGCAAGCATCTTAATTAGGTTGATCTTCCTTTGTTTTGGGCAAAACAAACTCCATCGAGTGTAAAACCCCAAAAATGGGGGTTTACAGCATACACTGGTGAGAAATCCAGTGCCAGACTTTCAACCAAAACATCTAGAAATTGAAATTGATCTACGTTCTGTTGTTTTGTATTCTGAAGACTGTCAGACGAAAAGCTTTAGCATACTTAAATGTTTGCTTTTTTCAAAGCCATTAATTTAAATTGTATTTATATTCAAAATAAATGGTAACATATTTATAAAATAACTGAAAAACTTAGACCATACTCTGGTCTGTCGGATGGTCTGTCATCATCGCTACTTTCCTCATCTTCAGGCATTGGTACACTTCCGATTTCCTGTTCAGCATCATCTTTTTTCTCAGCTTCAGGGGCAGTTCCACCCTGCTCAGGACCAGCAATATCAATATCACTATCATCTTCGTCATCTGATATGATGGCCCGTGACTTCACTGCAAAGCAACAGCAATGAATATAAACATCAATAAAATTACAGTTTATGAAAAGAAGTATAATATTGCTATAATTTGGCTACCTCCGGATGACCCTTTAAAACATGGTTGCTTTATCCAAAAACTTCAGCATTTTGTTCACAGCAATGAATCAATTTGTTTCACTTTTGTCTTATATATATATATATATAATATGTTAATGAGGTTTTGATTGTCAAAACAAAGGTCAGTGTGAGGCTTATGGTTTTAAGGCTAAAAATACTTACATTTCATTCTTTCTGTTTTTAATTCCTCTTCTCCAAAGCCCTAAGAAGATAAAAAATGTTGATATAAAAACTATTTAAAAGGTTTATTATGAATGGAAAGGCAAGATTTCAAATATTGGAAACAACAAAAAATATGAGAAGACAGTAGCAAAATGAAAACTGTTATGAAACCTCAAATTCCTCATCTTCTTCATCGCTGTCCCCAAAGATGTCTGCTATTAAGCCACCAACATCACCACCACTGAAAGAAAGTTGCAAGGATAATTATATACACAATAAAGAAACTTTATACAAAAATATGCATAAAATACACTTTTGAAATTTAAAAAAGGCAAAAACAGTTCATTTAAAAGAAGAAGTTTCAAAGTGATCAGAAAAATGTGACCAAAGATACTTGGAGGCTATGCAATATTTAAGGAGGGAGGGGTAGTTCTTCCCTTCTATAGTGAATATACCTGAGGATGTGCTGCGAGCAAGGGTAATTCTTTTTCAATCTTCTAGTCCAGTCAAAGGTATACTTTTTGTGGCCAAGCCAAGGATATCATATTTGACATACTGGTCTAGGGAATGGTCTTTGGAAGTATAAATTTCTTCCTGACACCCCACTTTTGTTTATAATAAACTAGCAAATGAAACAAATCAACCTTTGACATTTCCCAGTTCGAAAACCAACAATTCTGAGATATCTGTTAACTTGCATGGCTTGGAAATGAATCTAACCAAGGGTGTCCATTTTTAATATCAGACTATGCTGAGGGTATACTTTTTGTAGAAATTGGTCTAGCCAAGGGTATTGTTGTCATTAAAATTAGTCTTGCCACAGTACCACTTTGAATGTGCAGAGCCCTACCAAAAACTTAGCCAAGAACCCCCCCCCCACCCCCCCCCCCCTTCAGAGCTTAAATCTACCAACCAAGGTTGATGGTATTGAACACAACTTGAAAACACTTATAGATTCTGTCTGACTGTATTAAATTGCATTTGATTTGAATTGAACATTCAAATTGTATGTTTGCTGGAAGATTAAGGAATCCCATTCATTTCAACCCTAATATACTTCTTGACCAAGACCTTTCATTTAAATAAACTATCATATTGAATCCTTATAAAGACAACTAGCAAGAGAGGACCAAGGGTTATCACACAAGCATTATCATTTACCCTTGCTCCTGTCCCTCTGGAACTTGTTCATCTTTTTCATTATCCTTTTTGTTATCTTTTCCTTCCTCATTTGTGCTTTCTTTTGGTTCAGTTGGACTTTCAGGTAATTCTGTACCCTTATTTTCTTCTTTGTTCTCTACTGAAAATAACAAACAACAAATGTATAAAAGTGAAAATGATTGACAAATTATCATGTCATAGCTTATAAACAGCAACATTCTATGAAAATTAAATAAACACAGTAAACTTCTAAATTCATCTTCAACTAATTTGGTGCTAACGTCTAATGCAGGGGCGGCGCGGAGTGATATAAAGTTGCTATTACCACAAATATATGTACCCTGTGAGTTCTTTACTAGTGAGTTTTTAAACGATTGTTTTAGGACCAATATCTCTTTTCTCAAAATCTGTATGTACGGGTGGAGGCACTAATCTATTCCTTTGGAATACTGGGTCTAAGCATAGGCTGATAGCCTTTGTGGAAGGTGGCTACACTTTGGGGCCGATAGACCCCAGCAGCTCTTTGCCATCTGGGAAAGCCCCTTGCTATTAAAGGTACACTGTGTTATAGCAAGATTGCCACTGTGGTCTAGTTGGGTACCAGAGAGCGTATTAGTTTCCCCGTGAGAAGTTTGTCTGAAAGTTTGTAAAAGCAGCATAATGGCCTCATCCTCTATAACTAAAAATGCCAGAAATAATATGTACTTCATGTCTGAATCACCTTAAGTCAAAATTTATCTGAGTCGGCTTTTTACTAACTTCAACATTGGGTTAGGACGTCCATCAAGGCCCTGCTTATGAGTTAATTTGCCTGAATTTGCAAATATAAAAGGAAGAAAGCCATTGAAACATCTTGTCTTATACATCTATACAAGCAGATGCGAAATGATTTGTTTTTTTTCGCGTCAAGCTACTTCGTTCTCCTCGAGATGAGCACCTAACTGATCTCCTGCTATTTAATTTGAGATTGTAATAGCAAAGCAGCGGGATTTGAGTTCCAAACAATAGCCTATTGTGCTGCAAACAAAGAGAGTTATGATGTAATGTACTATTGTTTTCCTTCATTTGCTATGAAAAAGGCCAAAGTAATAGCATGGCCGTTCTGTGGCTGAAGAATGAGGCTCCTCTCATGCCGTGGTATATTGGCTTTTGATGAAAGGTCTGCTGCGGCTACTTTAGTTTAACTGAATGAGGCAATTACAACTAGAACCTCCTTTTGTGTTTCGATTACTACTAGAACCAACTAGAAATTTTTGTGTTTCATTTTATTTTTCTTACATTACACACAAAGTTGCCTTGAAAAAAATTGCTGATACAGTAATAGCAATTATAGCACTGTCCGCCGCCCCTGGTCTAATGTTTATTTCATTATTTGTAAATTAACATTATCATTATCATTATGAAAGAAATAATCAGTAAACTAACAATAATTGATTGTATCTAAAGAGAAATCATAGTAATGTTATAATCACATTATATTATTTCCATGTACACTTACTTTTGCTTTTAGGGGAAGCAACTGGTAGTGAAACATCTGTACTTTCAAGACTATGAGCAAATCCTTCAAGTTCAGGAGATATATGATCAGCTCGGTTGGTTTCTTTCAAAATGTCTGTAATCATTGCATTTTCTGCTCCTGAAATGTCACCAATGTCACTGAATGGAGATGGAATTGGAGCATCAATATAATCAGCATCAGCATGATCTTGTTGTTCTTCTGTGTTTTCATTAAGATTTGGGGATTCTTCTTTATTGTCATCTACATCAGATAAATGCTTTGATTCATCAACCTGCGTGGATTCCTCATTGTCGGACACATCACTTTCTTTATCAGCTATGTTGACACTGTTCTCGGGTGATCCAGTGACGGCTTGGTCATCTTCTGACTCTTCCTCGCCAGCACTGAATGCCTCATTTTCCTCATCCCCAGAAATATCTTCAAAACTTGTATCTTTAGGCCTTTCGTCATCATCTCCATTCTCAAAATCTTTGCTTTGATCTTCGCCTTCAACCGGTGCCGCTTCTTGTCCTACATCGTCATCGATATTTCTCATTTCCTTGTGCGCGATTCTCTTCCCTGCTGGACGTGGCGGGACAGCATCATCTTCATCCTCATCACTGTCATTATCAGGCGAATTTGACGGCGTTATGTCTTCGACATCATATTCTTCATTACTTGCCATACTCTTAACTGTAAAATTGCCTAAATAAACTTATATCAAATTGGACAATACTACACTCCAAAACTAGTGGCCTAAAACTTGACCTGCTGCTGTCAATCTTTTTTCTTGCGATTATGTTTTCGTGCTTACATATGCCACAATATGGTCAAATAACTACCTTTATCGATTTATCTTTCCTAGAACATATCAAAATATTTTATACCAATATGCTTGTACTAAAATGATGAAGAAGTCAATTATATATGACGAGGAAGAAACACAACTCAGACAGCAAATCAATCAGCAGAACGCCATATTGGATTCAGTATTATTGTCACGGTGCGCATGTCTCTCATGGGTCCACCGCAGCTACCAATGTTCAATACCATCTCCTTGTCAGACAGATGGTCAGATGCTAAGAACCCCGCAGCACTAGCACCAGGAACTCGAAAACTACAGACGCCCCTCTGGGTTAATACAGGTAGTTGTAAAATACAAGAAATTGTTAATAACGTTTGTTTGAATTGAGAAATTCTGAGCTTATGTTCTTAAAAATGTTCAGACTTAAAAAAACTCTTATCATGTTCCTCCCTGTCAATATTTTTGATTATGCAAATCAATTATGTTAATACATGTTAATTTTTTCTACGTAGTATTGAATGGAGCTGTCTAGTTTCCATACTGCTCGACCTGATAACGTAATTATTTTACCCTAACCCTAACCCTAACCTTAAACCTAACCCTTACCCTATACCCTATACCCTAACCCTTTACTTGAAATGATTAATCATGCTAATTTATGACCATTAATCATGCTTATTTATGACTATCAGGTCGAGCAGTATGGAAACTAGACAATTCCGTATTGAATACCTTATTTGTCACTGCTCATTTTGATAAAAATAGGCATTTTTGAGTGGGGGCCCTCAGAAAGCTTGTCAGATCAAACCATGCCCTTTATGTGAGCTATAAATGTGAACAAAGCTATTTTGCCACAGAAAACTTCTTTAGAGAGACTCCATTGAAGTCTTATCAACGGTAACTGGAGAAACAGGAGATTCTGTGATTACTCTTTTGAGAAGTCATTCAAACTATCCAAATATATGTTACATCTTCAACTTATTAAAGAAACAATAAACTAATAATTGAAAGCTAAAATTTTACATTTCTTAGCATTTCTTTTCTTACATTTTTCCACTCAGAGTTGCTTTGTCTTCTCCTGTGGGAAAAACATATGAAAAAATATCATTTGACAAAATTCGACAGAAAACTGGGCTAATATCTACGCAATTGAAATCAAATACATAATTAGCAAGCAGTTTTGTTTTCATCTTCATTGTATGTTTATTTGTGTAGTACAGGCTATTAACTTTATGTTTTCACTGCACAAAGCGTTTTTTATGCACAAATTGCTTGTCACTGCACTGCACCTTAAAACTATAGTGAAACTGTATAGTGAAACTCGTCATGAATCCTACATAGTATGTCGTAATTAACATCCCAAATATCAATGAATAACTTGGCGCATCAAGAAATATGAGAATTCGTAAAGGAAAGCAAAAGCACAGTCGTGCATTGCGAAGTTGCTTTGAAAATTGCCGTTTTAGAATTAAGCCACGTCTGAAAAAAGTGCACCGGTTTAGCTCTTCATACATAGAGTCGAATGAAGTTTGCAGTTTTTACGTCCATAGCAAAGACATTCTGCTAATGCATAAGCTGTTCTCAAGATAGAATATCTGTGTGTTATTTTAGGGTCAGTATGTTCTTTAACGTCTCATTATCCCTCTTCTAAACATTATTGATATGGTGCTATACGTTGATCAAAGAAAACAATATTTGATACGTACATTCCAGTTTCTGACCTCAGCTTCATTTATTTATTAAACAAACTTGAATAAAATCCTACTCAAATACATTGTAGCTCAGCAATTTCAAAATAAATTAAACTTAAAGATGACATGAAAATAGTATCAACGTGATTCTCCCTAGGACTGGTTTAAGAGGAGTTTTCGAGTTAACTTAACTTGAGCGAGCCTCTCGGCAAAAGTGGTTACAGCAGACCTCAAATAAAGCTTTATAGAAAATGGCTTTGAAAATGCACACATTAGAACATACTTAAGCTTTCATCTTTATAGAAAAGCTAGCAACACATATAAATAGGGGGTTGTAAAATTTAAAAGAAAAATATTGAACTGTTTGGAAACGATGTATGCAAATTTACGTATATAAGAATAATATAGTTAGTATGAGATTGGTTAAAAATAGTAAGGTTTCTGAAGAAAATGTCCACAAAACAGTGAAATTTAACAGATCACATGATTCTACGAGTTTTAAATTATTTTCATGATGATTAAGTGAAATTTAATCAAAATTATTTTCACGAGAGGCATCCTTTCTTTTCCCGACTATTCCCCCAGTCGATATTTTTTGTTGTTCGTTATGGTCCCATTCTACAACAAAATGCGCAATCCTGTGGAACCTTTTGTCATCTTGGGTTTTTTTAGCTAAGAATTCTAGGGTAGGGTGTTTGTTTGGTTTTATAGTGTATTTGTATTCACTTGTTCAACTAGGACTATTCAAGGGCTCGACATAGCGTATTTTTCAAAAGTATTTTTTCTCTTTTCTCAAACCAACCACCCTCATTACCCTAACAGTTTTTTTTCCAGCATAATGAATCTTCTTATGCATTCGGCCATATTCTATGCTATTGACGTTTTGATGATGTTAGGTAAAACTGGTGCATCGGCTGATAGTTCGGTTTTGTTGTCCATTATTCTCTCCCCAATTTCGTTTATGTTTTTCTGTAACTTCCCTTTGGTTGAGCGTTTTCATGATGTGGGAATGTAGCCTCGCGATTGACTTCCTGATATCTATGACAGCTTTTTTGAGGGAGCATTTTTGGCTTACAACTTGTATTGTAACTGGCATACATCTGCCCCGTGCATTAGCATCAGTGGCGGCGCCAAGGGGTGGTATGGGGGAGTAATTACCTCCCCACTTTTCTGAAAATATGGTCTATATATTTCTTCTAAAAATGGATAAAAAGGCGCTGGGTAGGGGTGGATCAAATTTTCCAAGGAAAGGGACGAGTCACTGGAGCGAGGCAAAAGGGGTGTGGTCACACTGGCCACGCCCATTACCCTCCAACTCTGTAATAGCTGGCGCCGCCACTGATTGGCATACATCTTTCTCGTATTAGAATGTAATAGGGCTTCAAAAATTGTGCATCGTATCGTCGAGACAAACTGGACCTTAGATGAGAATTGAGACAAAGATACAAAATCATTTTTTTTTAATATCTATCTTCCGATCAAACGATCTTTCCGCGAATAAGGTTAATAACAATGTTTCTTTACGGTTGTCCCGTAACGTCGAATTGTTCTAAAAAATGAGGCACAGTCTTTTACAAGCACTGTCTTCGCAAACATACAAAAAAATAATCTAAACCATAGATGAGCGATTCCATAAATCCATATACATATTGTATAACTCCATACTTCGTGTCGACAAGATCTTTCACAAGCATCTTGCCACATAAATAAATCGTTGAGAACCTAACGTACATTTAAACAACAATTCTTAACCTTGTCGCTCTTAAATGCATTTGACATTGACATGCATAAGTACAGAGAATCCAAAAATAACTTAGGCCAAATTGATCAGAGCACGCGCACAAGAATGGAATTGGAAACTGCTCACGTGAAACCACTGCGCGCTGCTCTAGGATTTCACCGATTTGCAGAAAGGTGGAAACTGTTCGGGTGTTTTTCTCTGTGCGCAATTTGATGGGTCAACAATCGAATGTGCGAAAATTGGTAAATTACTATGGTCACAAATAACAAAATAAACGATGTCTAAACTAACATTATTACAAGAAACTAACGGATATTAATATTTCTATGACACACAAAAATACCTATGTGCAACAAGCCCGGTGAAAACCTTTCCAGGTGAGAAATTTTCCGACCGGGGAGCAGGCACGTAAATAATAGGGGGGCGTGGGGGGCGTGGGGGGCGTGACACCCCCCCAAAGTTTGGAAAATCCAGTTACAGTTGGAAAACATAACGGTTGACTTGGAATTTTTTCTTAGGACCAAACTTGTGAATTTTATATTTTAAGAAGTTTTTTTATTTTAAATGTAAAAATTCTAAACATTAAAATTCACAAGCTGAAGCTGACCCGTCTTCACTGGATCCAAATTGCACAACTGCCCTGTTTGCTTTCTTTCTGACGGGAGTTGAATCAAATTACGAGCAGGCAAGGTGAATTTCCGGATAGGAAACTTGAAACTTTACAGTTTGGAATAATAATTCCCGTATTGATCAGAAAGTATTAGAGTGGGAGTTTTTTAAGAAACTACGAGTAGTTAATTCAATAAAAGATTAATAATCTTTCAGTACTAAAAATTCTCAACGCTTCTTATAAAAACGAGTTTATGCTAAACTCCCCCTGTTATTTGTTAACGCCCTTGACTCCTTATCATAAATTCCTATGACAAAACTGCTGTAAAGCAAGAACACATTGCAAAAACTGCAGTAGAAGTATTTTATCAAAGAAGAGTGTTTTATCTTTCGGATCAGGCATATGCACAAGTTTGTTCTCAAATCATCATTTCAATTGTAAAGAATGAAAAGGAATTTGGCCCTCTGAAAATTGTTAGTAGTTTTATTCGATCAAGAACAAAAATTAAAGGCCCAAGTTCTTGGTGCTTCTATATCGTGAAAAAATGTATTTTAGATAAGATTGATCTGCGCCAATTGATTAATTGATCTGAAAGAATACTACTAATCATTAAGTATATCTAATACTGGTTTTGCTTAAATGTTGCTTTACTTCTTACTGTAAGTTAAAATGTCTGTTTCATGTTGATCAAAATTTAGAGATTTAGGCTTTTATGCTTTAGGCTAATTATTGAGTAAAGTTTTGGTAGTTATAAAGAAAATAGAACTATGGTGTTCGGGCTATTTACAAATATCAATTTAGTAGGTACAGTAGATTTACTGGTCAAATGAAAAATTTCTTACTTAGATTGGAATTTTCATCCTTCCACGCCCCCCCAAAATTAGCAACTTGTTTTCGTCCCTGCCGGGGAGTTCCCTTTCAAAAAGTCCAATGATCTAGAATATTTCCATCCTACCATGTTCATTGCGGCCTGAGATATTTTGTTCCCAGTCAGTCTTTAGTTCCAACTTTGGCACGACATAATAATGCGGGAAGTTTTTAGAGTTATAAACAAATTTACCTATATGACTCGACTCCAATATGAGTGCTCTCAACAAGATTGCAAATTTAAGTTATCCCCTGCCAGCCCAAAGAAACTTTTACTGCCCCTGCCGTCAGCCATCCCTATTAGAGAAACAAGATATCCGAGCATGTTACACAGGAGTGTAAAGAGAGACACAAGCACTCCGATTCTAAGTGATGTGGAAGGTTTTTGGCTCTACCTCTTAGCAATTTCGAAAGTAACTTTTAAAACTATTATTTTTTGCACTCCCGCAGGAGGCTTGACAAAGGCATTTTTGAGTATCATACCTTATTGAAAGAGCTTGCCAATCTGATTCAGAACAATGAAAGGAGTCGTTATTCGGCTTTAAAATCTTTCCTCTCAAAATGTAATACTTAGATAAAAATGGACAACCATGTTATATTTCCGATAATATCTGAAGTCTTTCGACAAAATAGCAGTTTAGCTTTAGAGGGAGGTTTCTCGCCCCCTATAGCCCCCTCTATACACTCCCCCACGCAAGGACCGATATTCAACTTTTTGTTTGGGGGGGGGCAGCCGGGCATGAAAGGGGACTTGAGGGGTGTGAGACACCCTTGAAAAAAATCATATTTCAAAAGCGTAGAGGTTTTGCCAGCAAGAGATGCCTGGTCGGCAAATAAATGATTATTTTTCGGCAAATTTGACGGTCCGGGGGGATCCCTGCTGAATATATATAACAATAGCTGTCACCGGCAGAGCCAAACCAAATCAATTTTGGTTGTGAGAAAAGTTTTATTACTGAAAAATATTTTATTCTAAGGAGGTTAAATGATCACACATTTTAAGATCAATATTTTAAATGTGACGAACTAAGGCAGCAAAAACTGGATTCCTTATCTGCAAACCAAAAAATCTAAAACATTAATATCATTAACATCTGCTTAACTATGTAGTAATCTTTTCAACAAAACAACAAAAATATTGATGATTAATAAGTAACCTCACCGACTTCCAACAAAACAAAATTAAAATATGCCATTAGATTTCTTAGACTAAAAGATCTACGACAAAAAGTCTCTAAAATAATTTGTTCTTAGAATTGGAGTTTTTAATTGGTTTCTTATAAAAATATAAGTATCCAAACGACGTTGCAATCGGTAAGTGGAACCTCGATAAGTGGAACTTTTGCAGTATTCAAATAGAGGTTTTTATTAGCAAATGCTCGTCCTTGCCCCTATTTACCCGGAGTTTTGGTTAACTGGGGCATTCGCTAAGAGAAACAGATTTTGTGGAACCATATCCCCTCGAGGTCCTAATGAATAAGATTATAATTTACCATAGTTATACTATACATAAAGATCAATCTTTTAACAAATGTGACAAATCGCTGGGTGAAAATTTACCCAGATGATAATCTCTTTTGTCATTTAAAGAAACAAAGTCATTTGCCACCGATATCAATTGTTCTGTTGTTTTCTTGTGCACATGTTATGTCATCAAATGATTCAATTTTGACTGCTTCATATTTGTACGTAAATATGTCTTTATTCTCCGTAGTCCGGAAAAACCTCTTTTAGAAACAGCCTTGGTCGCAGGCATTACAAGTAACAGCTTCAGAACTATTATAACTTGTGCTAACAGCGATCTTTGGCCCTTTTGATCGTATTTCTCAAAGTACTAAATAGTAATACAAAAGTGTTTTACTTATGGTACTAAAAGTTTTGGGGGGGCCAGGGCCCCCCCCGCCCCCCTATATCTCGGTCACGAAAGTATCCGGACAGTTTCGAATTCAGTTGCGAATCTGTTGTTAGAGAAATTTGTTTACAAATTTCAGTGTCAGTTTCCATGAAAAAGTTTTAATCAATTTCCTCGAATTTTTTCTTGAAGTTTTTGGCCTTTAATCTATGTATTCGTTGAAAAAATATAATTTTATCGATATGTAAGCAAACTCTGCAAGGGTTTTTCCTCAAGATGGTAGCAACCGAAACACATGAATTGACTTCTGTCTAGAGATAATGTTTACCACAATGATGGGAAAAAGCTATCATTAAATTGGATGCACAAAGACTCCAACTTTCAAGCTATGCAAAAAAATTGAAAAATAAGAAGTCCAAAAATTTTCAACGGTCAAAAAGAGCAAGAGCTCTTGTGACACCAATGTCTGAGCGTTCCGCCCTAACCAAATTTGCATCAAAACTGGTTTGTATCATTACGCAAAACTGCATTAAATGTTCATAAACAATTAAACTTTCAAGGAAATTGCAAGGAAATTGATAAAGAATTGTGAATGTACCCTCGTACCGACCGATTTCAGCAAGACTTGCAGCGGTAAAGAAATAACATGGCTTTTTGGTCCTGCACTGAATGATTTGTCTGCTTTGTAAAAAAGCATTTAATCTGGTAAAATATTACCAAATGTCATCCATGTTTTATAATCGATCGGTGGCATCTCCATGCAAACATTTTTTTCCCAACTGAGAGTAAACACGTTGTATTTCTCCTTATTCGAAAATATGTGTGTCTCAAGAACCAGTTTGTAAAAAATTACCATGTTTTATTGGCCCATTTTAACTGAGTCCAAGTCACCTGACTTTGCTGTTCTTCGCCTATTTTACATCAGTTGATTTGCGCAAGGCTTGTAGCGCAAAGAAAAAATGATAACGGATAAAAAGCGCAGAAGTTTTGCAGCATTTTAATGTTCTGGTTTATTTTGGAGGGTTTCTCAAAAAATTATTATCACTAAGTTAAAAAGTCGTTTTCGCCAGCCTAAATTTGTTTTTGTCTGAAAGCGCAATCGGTCTTCGATTTTGTGAGGGGAGTGTATACGCCATTGCCCACCGAAAAATCTCCCTGTGTCCGTCTAACCACAACGCCCCTGAAAAAGGGAAGATAAAATCAAAAAGTAGAAAATACTAGTAGGTAAAGTAAGAAGGATAACGCTTATGTGTTATGTACATGGACAAAAATTACCGATGAATGTGGGGATATGAGGGTGTGACACCCCCCCTCCAATCTTTTGTGTCGTCAAGCGAATTTTTCTTTGATTCAGGAAAAGTATATTTTGGTAGTCAGACGACATCGGCCTTTCTGCCATTTTCTAGGCATCTAAAGATTTGACCCTAAGTTCCAATTATTTTATAACACGCCCCCATTCCTTGCCTCAAAAATCCGTCCCTAGTTTTTAGTAAAATTAAGTGGATTAAAATCAAAGAAATGTTGTCATTGTAAAAGTAAGATTTGTTGTTGTTGCTGTTGTTTGATGTTGTTGTGGTCATCAAATGTGGGTGAAGATTTTTTGGCGGCATCCGCTGCATGATATGCCATGCTTGTTATATTTTTGATAGATGCTGTTAAAAAATTGGCAGCCATTTAAGTGCAACCATGTTTCCAGTTCGGACGATGAATGGCCCTGCAATGGCAGTTAACGGTAACAAGATCATTATTGAAAGGGTTGAAAACCCAAGTGAACAAGAAGAGGAACTGTCCAAGATGGCTAAGGAGGGTGTACAGGAGACACTAAGGTACGCGTACGCACGCACGTTCAATACAGTTTTGAAATTTGAATATCAACATTGATTTCATGTTACTGATTTATATTGGCAAATCAAAATAAGAATTTCGAAATAGAGGGATTTGGATAAAGATCCTTAATAGAAAATTGATGCCCCAAGATTTTAACTGCTAGCTATTAATTGTTTTTACCATGTTATTTGCCTAGTAAGTAAACAAAAAGTTGGTACGAAATCCATAAACAACTGTCAAGACTATTGGAAAGCCTAAAGAAATTCCCTGCTTGGAGGGGGACTAAATAAAATCTTAGGGTAGCTTAAATCTACTTTTGAGCACCAATGCTTCCACTTCTGTGCATTTTGTTTATGTTTTCAGCATCAAAAGGGTGTAAAGCAGGGACAGGCAACCTTTTTAACTTGGTGGGGGGGGGGGGCAAATTTGCAGCATTTTATTCCATAGAAGGATTGATTTGCCCTGTCAAAGAACTGGGTGCCCCTGGGCAAAAGGAAATGTGCAAAACTGCCTTTCAGTCAGACACAAGTGATATCACTCAAGCAGGCAAAAACATGTGGAGAAGACAACCCAGGAGTTATAAGCAGAGAATTTTAAAAATATTTAAATCAATATATTTAAAGCCAAGAAAAAGAAGGAAAGCTATGAAAGCAAGGAAATGTACACTGTGCCCAGCAGTTTAAATGAAAGTAAGCAAAACAAGTACCAATGGTGTCAGTCCTGCTAGCATGTGTGGATTGTTGCAAGTTTTATTAGGCTTTGTGAAAGGAGAGGAATGATCCTACATTTTTCAGATCTGGGTGGGATTCATCATGTATTTTGTCTAATGATGTAATGCTTAAATATACCGCTATCTTTAGAGCATAATGCCTATTTGTTTCTTTTTAGTGAAGAGATTTTTATTCCCTATGATGCATCAGCATTGCCGCAATCATATGCTGCATTAAAACATCCTGGAGATATTGTTGAAGCTGGCTCCCTTGCGGTAAGGCAAACTCTTAATTCTGATATTATTCTTTAACATTCGCAAAATAACTCTCGATATATAAAATCAGCCAAATATGTTCAAAATTGGATGTGATATGGCCAATGAGATATTTTAGGTTTGCTAATGGATTTGTATTAGAATAGTCATAACATTATGAACCAAGACCAATTTACAGTGGTTTGATGGGGAAAGGGCCTGTGCTAATGGGGCCATGTCCCTGCCAGTTTGTAACACATTCAACTGATTTTGCCAATTTGAGGTATTCCATAATGCTTTTTGGGCTAAATGGTCAAAACGGTAGATTCTAAAAAGAGATTTTTTGACGTCATCATTTTGGTACTCTATTGACTGGCTTTCTTTGGAGTATCCCATATCTTTCTTTGTACTGTTCCCATGGGCAAAGTATTTTTATGTTTATAAATATATGATATCGTGGTTGCCATAGAATGAAAAGCCAGTTCCTGTCACACTTCGAAGTTCAGGGATCCTCTAGAAATATAATTGATTTAGACTTATATAAGAAGAGAATGGAAGTCCCAGTATTGGTCCTTATTCCATATTTTAACTCTATGATATATCCAAACTTGTGTCTCTGATTTTCTGTTTTCTGAGTTCAACTTTTCAACTATTTTAGGCTCAGAGGCTACCTGCTGTAGAGTATGATATCACCTCATCATTCCCGAAAGAAGTGATTGCTGAAGGTAGGTGTGTCAGTATGCATTGTCTTTTGAGAAATCATGTTGCCAAATCTTTCTGAGATAATAAAGATTGGCAATTATTGTGGGCTCAAGCTCCCCATTTCTGACGGCTCTGGTTTACAAAGGAAAATCTTACAAAGAATGTGAAATGAAATGAATTGTATTAATATGAAATGTATTGGTTATCCAACAGAAAAAAATCCTGTTTTTTGCTCTTGCTTGATAATTTAGCTACTTTGTCAAGTTCTAGATATAACTATTGGTTTTGAAATGATAATCAAACCATCTTATTAATCATTTTGGTAATAAAGTTGGTCACCATGAAATGAAGAAATGGATTCAAGATTGATATGTGGATTCAAGATTTCTCTTGGTTTCTGCTAATATATTCAAAATATGAGGTGATATCATACTCTACAGCAGATGTCAAAAAATTATCTGAAATTGAAAGAGTGGGTAAGAAAATTTAGAAAGAATATCCCTGGAGCAAATAAGAAAAGCATATCAACGAACAAACTGGTTCTTAAAATAAAACAATTAAAGGAAGAAAAGTAAACCTGCTATGCTGATCATGGTAGGAATCGACACAAGGTCATCAAATTCTCACAATGAAAGGCACTTACAACTAAAAAATTACAATACACTAGGAAGAAAAAAATCAATGCTTGTTTCACACCACACTCTCATTACAAAAACCGTGAGTATTGAAAGTTTGGAAAAACACAAGTGCAAAGTAACAAACAGAGGGCCCCAAAGTGCCAATGGACTTGTGCCGCCCAATGCCACTGATTGCTTTGAAAGCTTTGTTTTGAGCCACTTATTTCCATTTATTTATCAAGTTTTTAGTGTCATGTTTGGTTGTGCCAGCTTTGCTAGATGTTTTTGCTTGATTATAGGTAAGCTGAGTGATTTGCAGCTCGAAGGGATTCTCTATGCTGTGAGTCATTCATTATTTTATTCAATCTTTTGATCTTTTGGTTTATCTTTTAACATTGAAAGCCTGTTTCTAATTACAATTATTTGTAGTATTTGTTTTCCGATTGTTCTTTGACATTTATAAAGATATAAGATAGATTTGATAAAATACTGTTTTAATAAGAATGAATTATTCAGTGGAAACTGGCTATTTTGAATCCTGTAGAGACCTTGGAAAAAGTTTGTTATTGCGGGAAATTATTATGCAGGGAGTATTCTGAAAGACAAGACTTGTAGATAGTAGTAACAAGATGTTTGTAACAAATGGGCCAGTAATTGCAGTGTTCTACTCTATCTTTGTAATTAAGACTTGTATGTGCACAGCCCTTTTACAACAGGCTGGTAAGTAGAATTGTCATCATAATCATATCCGTGTTTTTAGTTATACAATGCCTACTCATAAAGAATAGAAGCAAGTAGTTCTCTGTTCTTTAAGTTTTTTACAAGTTCTTATTGTCATAATCATAATCATCACCAGTGCCAAAGACACCAGAAAATCTTACCAAACGGTACCAGAGCAGGTTTTTTCATTGGTGATGGAGCAGGCGTTGGCAAGGGACGCCAGGTAGGAGATTGCTTATCCGTACGGTGATCTTTGTTATATACACATCCCTTTAATTAATGTAAAATGGGTAACAGTAAAGGGTAAGATATGACATGTCCATTTACCAGGTTTTCGCCTTATGTTTGCGAACCTACTCAAAGTGGTCAGAATGTTTTTTATTTCTGTTCTGAATATGGCCTAGTTTTCTACTTTTCCTCCCCGATCTTTATTTTTCCCAAATTGTACAGTGTTTTGGTCTTCACCTACTGCGATTAAAGAAGGTTTTACTATTACAGCATAACTTGTTAACATGGTTATGAATTTAGAAAGTCGTAAATAGCACAGTACATAGAGGTACCAGTAATGGAGAACTGCATCCGCAAATGTTCGTCCAGGTAAAGCTTAAGGAAATGTATATGTGTTTGTTAGACGGACAATTTGGGTTAGGATAACACTAGCTCGCAAAGCTACAGTGTGCCAAAACAGACTGTGATAAAATTTCAAGATTGAACTGATGGGAAATTCTCTATATTGAGTAGCGAGAGGGTCCCCATTGTCAGCAAATGAGTCGGGCCTTTATCACTGGTGCCTCAGGCAAGGACCAATAGAAAGTTAAAATACGGAGCTGTAAACAATTAGCCATAAATAAGAAGGATCGACGGAGAATGTATGACGGGGAAAGCTCCAATATTTGAGGGTAGGCTATATAGAATACATAGAATACATAGGGAAAATTTAAAATTGTGTAAGGCTGACGTAAAAGTTATATGTTAGCGGATGTTTTTCCACAAGACGATAGTTGTTCAAGCTTTGCACCTTGAGTGGCTTTTTCACAGGAATAAAAAATATGATAATTTTATCCTTCTTAGGTTGCAGGGATAATTTTTGACAGCTTCGTCCGCGGTCGATGTAGGAACATCTGGTTCAGTATTTCGACAGATTTGAGAATTGATGCTCAAAGGTATTTTACAAAGAGTTTTTTAAACTGAGCTTCTTTGCTCTTTCTTTTCTTTGCCACTTAGCACTTCTGTAATTTGAAATATATGTTTTCTTCGATGGAAACATTAAGAGGTATTATAAATTTATTTCGTCCTAGCTCTAGCTTTTTGTTTTCAGGGATTTGCACGATATTGGCTGTTATATAAAGGTCATAGATGGCTGTCAAGAGCTTGATAAAGAAACCAGGTGTGAAATTTGTAGGACGTAATAAAGAACAAGAATGTTAACTTCTAAATTTATGAAATTTGATTTGTAAAGTAAAGCTCTCATTTTGTGTTCAATTTGCATTTTTTAGGATATTTTTATCGACTTTAAGCAACCTTCGTATACGTGTCTTCTTCTCGCAATTACAATGCATTTTATCTTCATCCACTTAATCTCTCAACAATCTCAAAATTGTCCCACAGATTCTTTTAAGTGAGAGACTTGTTTATTTTTTTAATTTAAACTGATCGAAATTGATATCATGATAATCTATGCCTTTCAATCATAGAGTTTTTGGTCTGCCAAAAGACTTCACAGAAGGCGTTGTTTTCAGTACATATGCTACACTTGTTTCTTTTGTTCAAAAAGGTGAACATTTTGATAAAAGGTTTCGGTGTCAAGTATTGACTTACGCATGCAAACTGCAGTCAACTTTTTTTAATTTTATAATGACAATTACTTTCCTATTTGCCAATTGCTGCGTGCAAGTAAGATGCCGATCATGTACGTCTTTGTTGAACATCGACCTGAAATTCTCTTCTTCACTTTTGCCAGTATAATGTCGATAGCTGTGATGTTGGGATTGGAAATTGAGTTTGTTGATTTAATCAGGTTGCATATGTATCAATATTGCAGACCCTTAAATGAATTCCGTATTAATACTTATTGGCCAAACGTTATGTTTCGCGTTTACATTCTTGTTTCATCTGATCATCTAAAAAAACAGACTCTTGCTGTTTTTGCAAAGGACGTTATGGTATTGTCACTCTTTAAACGATGATATTGTCGTTGTTCATTTTTTGTACTTTAAACATTGTTTTCAAGGTGTCGGATCCGGGAAGCAAAGTCGACTAAAGCAGCTTATTGACTGGTGTGGTGGTGACACATTCGAAGGCTGTTTGATCTTTGATGAATGTCACAAAGCAAAACACTTTCTTCCTGTATGCTCATTTCTCAATCCATGATCCTAAATTATATCTGATTCCATTGACTTCTAGGTATCTAATGATATCTAATAGCGTAGTCAAAACGCTTTCAACAAAGTATTTGTTCGAATTCGGTTAATTTTCAAATGCTAAAAAGAGTCAAATTTTTATGATTATTCGTTTAGGTAAATTATTGAGTCAAGCGTATCGTAGAATCTCTAAGAGTTTCAAAGTATAAAAGAACATATTGACCTGCGCGTGTTTTATTGTTCTTTTTTAAGCTCCAAAAAATTCATTTGCTTTTCTTGCTAATGCAGAAGATGTACTTATCCAAGAAACCCTTTTTGTGTCTCTGTTTTAATTTATGTACAACCAGCCCTATCACTGTGGAATACCATTGAACGCTGCAGACCGCTTTTGGCGCATCGTATCAGTTGTCGCTTCGCTATTTCCAAAGATTACCATCCATTTCGAAGAAGCCAGAATAAAACGTAATTAGCTGCAATACCATTGGAGAGTTCTCCATTTTAATGGCATTTGGCTCCCTTTGAATCTCTCGCATTCCTCACATAATTTACTGTAGTTCTAAAAACGTTCAATCTTTGTTATTTGATGGGATACTTGAGGTCTAGCTTTTTCTTGTTATCTTTTCTTAGGGAAATGAAAAATCAAGCACTAAAGTTGCTTTGGCTGTTACGGAGATTCAGAGGTGTGTGAACATTTAGTGCTATGAGTTACTGCTTTACTGAGTTTTTTGTCCTGTGACGTCTTCCTTTCATGAGAACTGGCAGATTTATTGATCCAACGGACAGGTTTCTTTCTCCAGATGATGTAAATGTGTATGCAAAACGGTAAAATGTCAAGCTATGTCCGGAAACTTTATAAGAAGTTGTGCAGTTTTCTAGGAAGTGAACTCGCCTTTCCATTCGCGTAAATATTTTTATTTTAGTCATCGGAACAATATTATGGCACGAAGAGCAGACCAGTAATCAAAATCTTTGAGGCAAAATCAATATCAGAACTTGCTTCTCTCTTTTCACTCAGTCTTATCTTTTTAATGTTGAATTCTGAGTCATTTCTGCCGGTTTTTTGAAGGATGTTGCCAAAAGCCCGTGTAGTCTACTGCAGTGCGACTGGAGTCACAGACGTAAAAAACATGGTAAATTGTTGCTTTTTGATGTTTTTATCTTTGTATCTCATAAATATTGCATCAGATTTGAACAAGAAACTCTTTTTACGGAACAAAGCTGCACAAATTTTACTTATTATTAGCAGTAAGTACGCAGTCCCGCAGAGTTGGCGATAATTTGCCTTGTTGCATCGCATATTTTTTCAACCGTACGGAATACTGTTACATAACACTGTCTTTTGGGATATCTGGTCCTAATGTTTCTAGATGCTAAAATTCTGGTCAGCGTATTTCTCGCCAAGCATGAAGTTTTTAAATATACCATTATCTTTAACTTTAAATGTGCTGATTTTCTCTTAGGCCTTTATGGAGAGGCTCGGTTTGTGGGGAAGTGGAACTGCATTCAAAGATTTTACTCCGTTTTTGGATAGTATTACCAGGCGTGGATTAGGCAAGTTCGCTGCACGATTCCTTTCTTGGTGTGCTAATTTTCATTTACAAGATCTGTCCGAGTCTTCAGTTCACCTGTTCTTGCTGCTTCGTTTTTCTCCGTCTTCATCTCTTCCCAATGTTTGTGTTATTGTTCTCATTCTTGTCACTTCTTCTTGGTTTAAACTGTGTGTCTTGATTCTCCTTGAAAAATGTAACTGGCAATTGAAAGAAATGCGAAATAATGTATGTTCCTCTTTTGTCTTCAGCTCTTTCATTAGGATATGCCATATATATAACATATGATTTGCTTCCAAATGAAGAAGGACGTTTTGCTTTCAAAAGTTATAATGCTTAGTAAATTCATTGGATGTTTAGAGTAACATTATGAATGTGGCGGCTTGTTTGCTAGAGAAGCAGACTTTAGTCTCTGTAAACGTACGACCTGTTTTTTTGGGGGGGGGGGGCATTTTTGACGCCTATTTCCTTTCATTTCTTGCTCTTTTCCCTTCAAAATGAATCCCAAAATCTCGATGCAAACAATATTATTGCAATAGATTTGATGTAGTAAATAAGTTTGAATATCGATCTGGTCTGACTTAATTCATAATGAATACGAATCAGTATAAACCAGTATCAACTAGTATTATTCAGTATCAATCAAACAATCGGTATCATTATTAATCAGATCAATCAGTGTCAATCAGTCGACACCAATCAATCGGTATCAATCAATCAATCGACTTCAAACAGTATCAGTCAGTATTAATCAATCTGTATAAACCAGTATTAATCAGTGTGAGCCAATCACGTCTTCATAATGCTAACAGGCATCGTCGACTGTTTTAATTTAGGTACGCTTGAAATGCTAGCAATGGAAATGAAAGCGTCTGGAATGTATATCTCAAGAGGACTTTCGTATCGGCAAACTGAGGTATGACTGTCTAAATGTTGTTTTATGTCTAATACTAGCAACGCTTTTGTTTTATGTCTAAAACCTTTTCTTAACTAAGCAATTTTTGTTCAAGTGAGATTGATACATTGTTTTTTTTCTTACAAAATCCTTTCTCAGTTCATGAATGTAGAGGCGAATCTCACAGATGCGCAGGTGAAGGTCTGGGATCAAGCTGTTCACGTTTGGTGAGAAATTATTACTTCACATGCATTTAAACTTTTTCAGTTCAGTAATTTTCAACATCAGCGACTTTTTCATTCTTTTGCGTAAACCATGCAATTTTTCTGAAAAAATAATTGTGAGCACAACGTAACGTCAGTGTTGCGTGAAACTTCTTATAAATTGACATGGGAATTGAATTTATCGTCACAACTCTTGAAAATCAATGTATTGAATGTAAATTTGATTAAAGTACTTAAATTTGTCATGTGTTATCGTAATACAGTGGCATCGTGTCATGGAGCATTTGTTAACACAGTGTAAGTTTTCAAATTAATGTTAAGTTATGTTGATTCATGTCAAATTATTTGAAGGAATGAACTAAGACGATCATTATTGGTTGCTCTGGGGCGAACCAAGACAGTGCAGCCTCGTATGTGGACCCAGTTCTGGGCGTGTCATCAACGGTTTTTCAAACAGCTTTGGTGAGTTTTCTCAGAACTTTTTGAAAAAGATTTAAATTATAAAAATGATGCTAGATTCTCAAATGAAGTATCTTATGTTGACCCGCCACACTCCTGAGATTCCAAAAAATTTAATTTTGATTGCTATCCAAAAGTTGAGTCCAAGCTGAATGTTGCAACATTTTGTTTGTAAATATATTGGAATTCTCTACAGGAATTAAAGGCAGTATGTCCCCCAATGATTGGCTAATGTGAACAATTGGTCTTCCCGCCTTAACGGTTTACGCTGCTCGCTTTGGCTGGCCTAGCTGCTGTAGTGGCCGACATTTAAAACTGCGAGCAAAAGGTTATTGGAAATGGCAAGAAGACTTAATTACTGGAATTTAATGCTGATAATAAAAGCATTTCTTTTCCCCGTTGACATATCTGTCGGAGTAACCAAACAGGGAACCCAATTTTTTTAACCACAGCTTCGCTACAACGGGAACACGACCATTTGATTCAAAAGCTCTGGAATCAGAGTTGTCTCTATTGGTTTAACTCGTTTAATTATCGATCAGACTAAATGGTGCGTGAATTTCACTCCAGTGGAAATAAATGTTGAGCACAAAAGGGGACAGACTGACTTTAAATATCTCCGCTGCCCGATAAACACGCAAAGATTCCTATAGATGTTTTTGTGGAAGTTGTGTTTTGTTTAACTTTGTTTGGCCTATATTCTTCTCAAAGATGCTCACGGCACAATTTTCATTCCTGTTTTTTCAACATAATTATTTGCTCGTTTTAATTTGGCTAGGGGAACAATACCAAGTTAGATGTTTTGTTGATATGTTTCCTTTGATTCTTCTTTAATTTTCTTCCTTTTAGCATGAGCATGAAAGTTCCAAAAATTGTTGAGGAGGCCAAACAGGCATTAAATGACGGATATTGTGTTGTCATAGGCCTTCAGACAACAGGAGAGGTAATTCTTAATTGATTTTTTCTTTCTCAAGGGAAAGAATAATTTGTTTTGAATTTTTCTTGTTCAATGTTTCATGATTCAGTTGTGTTGTCCATTTTCACACTTCTGAAAATCTACGAAAACTCTTTCGAGACCAACTGTCCTTTCTCCAGTCCCTCGAAAACATTTTCCATTCGTTTCTTCCTTCTATCACGCAATTTTTTGCTATTCTGTTCAGCTTCAAAATCGATTGTGATATTGTGATATCACCGTTTTCTTGTCTTAATTCAAGCTTCAAGCTTCACTGCCCACGATGTTTACCAATTATAACTTTTACTTCATTTTTATACAAATTGAAGAATTGATGAAATGAATATTATTTATCTTAAACTGTTGTCTTACCCTTTGGAATTTGAAATCAGTATAAATGAATTTTCCAAATTTCAGGCTAGTTTAGGGCAGGAGATATCGCGTTGCGGTGGAACAGTGAACAAATTCATATCATTGACCAGAGAAATCCTGCGACGCTTTATTGAACAGCATTTTCCAACGGAGGTCCACCTCAACGTGAGTTGTATCCAACTGAACGTCCGTTTTTAGGCAAAGGTTATGTGATATTTGAAATCTGATGGCCTATTTTTGAACCCAGCTCCATTTGAATTTCTTTGTACTGTTAAAAACCTTTTTGTGAACATTGAACACCAAGTCCCTGGAGAAAACAGACTAGAAATTCAAGAACCTACAGTACATGTTCTCTTTCTTTGATTGCGAACCTTTTTCAGCTGAGAAGAATAACATGTTTTTGATACCCAGGTGTCTTCATGAAATTTTAATTTTAACCAGGATCATTAGAAATTGCACTCTGCGCATTGACAATTTTGGGCTAATAACTCTGTATGATTACTCTGAAATTACGAAATGCTCCAAAACGGTTATACTAGATAAAAATATTCTATTAATTCGTTTCGCAAGGATTCAATGTCTCATTTTGTTTGGGTTTATAACTTTGAGCAGTTAACAATTTGTTTGGTTTCTAAGTTTGCAAGCTGTAAAAACCCAAGATTAAAATGTGTTATCCTTATATATTAAAGGCAGTTAACTTTAGTTACCTTTCTCAGTGTTTTGGTTTTTAACTTGTGTAAGAATGTATGTATCTATGAAAAATCTGTTTGTTTTCTGGTTTCTGTTAGGTATAGGCCTAGATTTTGTCAAAATGGCCTCTGATAATACAAAATATTAAAAAATTATTAGAATTGGGTAGCGTAGCAGTTGAACAATTTCCAGAAAGCGCACTCAAAATGAGCCTTTTCCTCATGTTTCAATTTCAATAGGCTAATTAAAACATTTTCAGATCATTTCTTTTTTAAATGCTAGTAAGAAAGGTATGTTTTCTTTGTCGAATGTTAAGATTTTGTTTACTTTGTATATTTTTTTATTTTTCCTGAAAATTTCTCTACCAACTCTAAAAAAATGTCATAGCTCTTTTGAAGCTCTGTTCTAAAGTAGCATCCTCACACGAACGTTATAAAGATTTTTCTTTCGGTTTTGAGATTTAACTTCTCTTTGCTTCTCTCAAATCCATCAGATTTTATTTGCTTCATTGCTAGTTTATTTCATAATGCCCTAATGCTCTTTTTCAGCCTCGTGAAAGAAAAGTAGACCAATGGAGCGAGCAAGCTAAAAACATGCTGCTTGGTTTTGCTGACAAAATTTCCCTGCCCAACAGGTATTTTTGAACTTGTACGCTCCAAGAGGAGTGATTTCCTGTTACACCTGCATATTTTACCGACCACTATTTAGTCTAGGTATACATGAAGCCAGTTCCAATTCAAAACAAACTCAAGTTTTTGCGAAGAAAAGACCAAAAGCTATTTGAAGAAAAGACTAAAGAGCAATGCAGAATATTCTATATGAAATATAATTTTGTTGCTGGGGATATGGCCAGATACCATTCTAAGAAAAATTTCCTGACGCTTCTCTACAGTTTTAGAATGAAGAACGTGCTTAGTTTTAGCGATATGCACATTTACATAATCTTTTTTATGCTGTTAAAACATTGTTTCTCGTTGACTAAAAATTTATTTATTCCAATGAAACAGCAAAATCAGAAATATCTTTGTATTGTAACTTAAAACCAGTTTTAAAGTAACGAAGCAGTGAATTTGAATTCGATAGGTTGATCGAGTTAATATCGATAGTCCGGTTGACTGATTGGGTTTTGATTGCAAATTGCGAACGACCTTGTGGATCATCAGAATTTTTCTATTTCAGTCCCCTAGATGAAATGATAGACCTTCTGGGGGGTCCAGGCATGGTCGCTGAAATGACTGGTAGGTCAGGCCGTGTTGTGCGACCTGGTCCAAAATCAGAGCCTCGTTATGAATCTCGGGCAGCTGCTTCTGGGAGTGTCGAAAGCCTGAACGTACAAGAGGTAATCACTTAATATAGGTTAGCATAATTAGCATCCGGTCTTTAAAGAATCAATTTCTGTCTGAACCTCTTAGCTATGTTTAAAGCTACCAATATCGTTTGGCTTTAACGTTATGAAACATTGCTTTGATCAGGTTTTGAAGTTCCTTAATTGTGATACACCCCTTTTTAGAATAGTGGTCAATTACCTCATACCAAGACTAGTTTTGCAGTCAGTGATATTTCAGGGCTCCTGTGACATTTGGTCTCATCGTAAATGTTTTAAACATTTCTTATCGCTGATGCTAATTAAAAATCCCTGTAAAAAATCCCTGAATGTTTGCTAAATCTATTTTTTTTTTTATAGCTTTGTTTATTGTAATTTATAACTGCAGAAACATCAGCTGTACTTTGTGTGCCAATTAGGCATCACATTATACCTGCGCTTGCATTTCTAGAGAAACAGCTTCATGGCAGGGAATAAACTCGTTGCAATAATCTCTGATGCAGCTAGCACTGGTATAATTTTTTAATTTTTTTGCGATTTCTTACAGAGCAATTAAATAAACCTATGAATAACATTGATTGTGTTTCTTATGAGAATCAAATGATGTAATTTAAGAATTGAGCATCGTGACCTTTGTGATATCCTATTAAACGGTACGTAATCTTTACACTGTCCTTTTTTACTCAATCCATGTACCTGGCGTTAGGCCACGTCACCATCCTCCATGTTCTCTATATCGCAACTGCTTTTATTTTGCGTCGATCTAGCCCTTTTCTTTAACATCACCTTCGCTCTTCTCAAACCCTGAACAAATCCAAAAGTCAATTTCTATTTTACTTTTTTGTTTATCATTTGAATCAAGCTACGGAAAAGCAAGGTTTGGATTTTCAAACATAAATATCTCATTGTTTTTTCTCTATCTCACTTTATGTACGCATGTCACCTGCATCAGCATCGACAATATTTGGTTTTAAATAAATATGCATCAATAGAGATAAAGCGTATCCCTTTTTAAACGTTGATCGACTGGCAAAAGTTTCTAGTTTTTCAATGCTGTCATTTGGAAAGGGCTTTTTTATCTCAATACTTTTTTGATAAAAATCAATGTTCTCGTGCTGCGTTTGGTAGTGTAGATTTGACATCATCTTCATACCTTGATAAATAAATGTTTTCAACGTGATACATATTTCACAAGATTTGTCTTCTTTTAACTTTGTATTCCTTTAATTTTATTTCTATAATTCTACGATTGTTTGACCGCAATCGATGTAAGGCCCTGATGTTTCCTACTCAAGCAGCTAGTTCAAAGTATTTCAAGGAAGATTTTGCAATTAAATATATAAGGGCTGTTGATGGCGATATTCTATACATCGTATAGCTTTATAGAGAATCGGAATATCGTTGGCAATTTGTTCACTTAACTACATTGTTTCAACTTTAAGTTGCACAAACTTGTTGGTACATCATCAATCTTGAAGGATTAATCGCCTAATATCAATTTCTTTTTTCTTGACGAAACGGGAAGAATATTTTCAGCTGAAATATCGTAACACTGTGATTTAATGTTTTATCAAGGCATTTCGCTGCATGCTGACCACAGAGCTGAAAATAAGAGGCGAAGGATTCATCTGACGGCAGAGTTGCCCTGGAGTGCTGACAAAGCAGTTCAGCAACTTGGCAGGTCACATCGATCAAATCAGAGCAGGTAATGATAATAATAATGATTACTTGTGATTATATTCAGTACGCCCCCCCCCCCAATAATCTGGCTTTTAGATTTGTACTGAGAATGTCGAAACAATGCAAAAAAGGCTTTTCAGGTTACCTTTTAAATAGCTTCCAAGATATTACACGACTTCCATGCCCAAAAGTATGCGTATTTTTCTCTAGTGGATAGAACCCCTTAGAATTTTGTCTAAGTAGTTTCTTTATTTCCTATCTTGGTCGTCAAGAGATAAAACGAAAGATGGTAATTTAAAACCTTTAGGAAAATTGACCAACTCCTCTGTTATTACATTTCGTAACTTGGACACGAACCCTTCCCTAACGCTACGGCCACAGGCTAAATTTGATGTCATCTTATTTTTCTGCTCCTGTCATTATCTGGTTTAAGAAAACCGAGTAAGAAAAGCCCGCCCTTGCGATTGTAAATCTTTGTCATTATCAAGACCCATACATTGTCAAAAACCTTGTCATTACCTAACTTTCATGGCGCTTTTGTCAGTAGTATCTTTTCATACACTTTGCTAATCACCCAGATTATCGGGTTCTGTTCATTAGACAACGCTTCTGTGACTTTACTTAGGTTTACCTGCTGTCAAACAAGAGCTTCTTACAACATGCCTAAAGTCATAAGTCTTTTGATATCGTTGACTCTTCTCCAGCAGTCACGATAGAATCTACCTCATCTTCTCTGATCTGACAGAGATCTTCCATTTAGCTGATGTATTGTAATTTTTGCGGTATCCTTTCTCGGTCAACTTGTAGTGTATTAAGTCGCTGTGGGCTTTAAGTGTCGGCGTCTGGCGAGTTAACTGTGTTTATTGACGTGCTAACCTTCAAAGTTCATTAAAATAGTCGGCTTGACGCTAATGAGTTTTCCAAACCACCTATAGCAATCAATTTTGCTTCGTCGGGTTATGCCTATTGCTTCACTCAGGGCACTTGATATTTAACTAGAGTTTTGTTAATTAAGTCTTCTTGAAGCAATGCTTTCTCTTTAACGTAATGTATCATTTGGTTAATCTTGCAGAAATTGTTGACATATAATCAACTCTTTCAAGGAATGAGGCAATAAAACCATTGTTTTGCCTAATCTATAGGCCTTAAAACTGATCGATAAAAATGGTGGGCTTCGTATTTTCTTTGCGTATTTAGATTGTGTGAGTTGACTTACTGGCTTTTCAGTTATCAGCCATCCTAAACTCTTTTTAGCGGTCCGATTTATAAACTTGTCACGACGAACCTTGGAGGAGAGCGTCGTTTTGCTGCAGCAGTTGCGAAAAGGTTGCAATCTCTAGGTAAATATTCAAAAACATTTTTGAGGAAACCTGCTAAAGAGATTCTTTGCTTCCTCCCTTTTTTGAGTTGGAATTTGAAAATTCATTGAGTGCTAATTTATTTAGCTTTCATTCTGTCTCTTCTTCAGTTGTTTGTACATGCTATTCAATCGATATTATTTATTTATTTGTATTTATATATAGCTAAGGAAGTGATTTTAATTTGTTCTTTCGTTGGTTTGAATGTAAACTGAACATGCCTGTTCTTCGCCATATCTTCGTTATGTCCCACTACTTTCTCCAGCCTTTAAGTTCTTGAACATTTTTGCCTATTTGCTGACCCTAAAGAAAGATAAAATACCATTGTGGATCCAAAGCTGTATCTGTCATTCAAAGCTTGACAGCCGTAAAACAATGCTTTCACTTCAAGAAAGTTTTTGTCCCTTATCATTCTGTATATTTTTAGGAAGTATCCGCCATTTTTGTTTACCATAATGCAGGTTTCATTGTATAAAAATTAATTGATAATCTTAGCTTTGTGATTTTGTGATCTGAACTCAACATTTTGGCGCTCTCTCTATCAATTTTATATTTACATTCAGAAATTTTACGTGCAAAAACAGGATTTTCATATTTCCACCCTTTATATACGTGTAAAACACTTTCCCCCTTTTCTACTCTTAGCTTTTCTTTCTTAAAACCTTTTTTCCTTAATATTAACATTTTTTTCGATATACCAAACAAATTGATACAGCAAATTTAGTTATAACCTGGTCTGTTTCTGCTACTTTTTTACTATTTCCCTCAAGCTTTCCAGATACGAAAACTTTTCGCATTTGATTTATCATTTTGTTTTGTTCATCTTTTTACAGACGGATGTGTCATAATATTATATCATTCTTCCGTAGGTGCATTAACAAAGGGAGACAGAAGGGCTGCAAGTGCAGCCGATTTATCAGAATATAACTTTGACAGCATTTATGGGCGACTTGCCTTGCGAACAATGTATACGAGCATTGCCCAGGTAAAATAAAGTTTGCCAATTTTTGCTTGAATTGATGCCCATTTCTCGCTGATGCTGTCATTATGGTAAGATTAGAGTAAGTGTTTTGCGAAGGGTCGAGTTTTTGTTGTGATGTGAGTCTGTGAATTTTTCACCGTGGTTAAACTGTTTCGACATGGATTTTTTAACGACTCATGCTTAATGTGCTATATCGAGTAAGTGTATTATTTTTTAACGTAACTCCATTTTGCACAAGGACGATTTAATCTCTTTATAATTGTACGTATTTGCGGAAAGACAAGCATTTGTAGGACGCCATACTAATGAGTTTCATTCGAGGGTCTGCTTTGTAAGCCTGCAATAATAACTCCATATTGTCCTTGTGTAACGCATTTTAAGTCTTTTATCCATCAAAGCATCCCTGTGGAAAATGCCAAGCTTTGTGCGATTAACATTTACAAATCTAGCTAAAAGTTTTGTAATTATTCCAGCGAAATTGCCGCAGACTGACCAATGTGCAGGGTTCTCTAAAGCCATACTAAAAGCTGCTAGCCTGTTTTAATTAATTTCATAAACCACGAGAAATCTTCTTGAATCAGATATGTTTCTAATGATTAGTCATAATTAAGTCGACACTGTTGCAGGCGCTTTGTTAATCCCTCCCTGCTCTTAATCTTGAATCAATTACAAAATACAACCAATGTAGGCCTATTCTATTTCTTGCTAAAAATTACAGCGCAGGCAGCCATTACGCTTAGGAAGGTTGAGCTTTTCATTTTTCGCAGGTTTTAGCCAATCTTTCGTGTAAACTAAAGGAATTTCAAAATCATAGCCTTCAACTAACAACCATAAGACAGGTCTTCCTTTTTTTGTGTGTGTGAATAATGGAGAGGCCACGATAGCAGGCTGCTTGACGGACTCCGATGGAATACTTTCGGCGAAAAATCGATAAAATAGTAGTTAACTTTTGCTCTGATGAAGCCCTGTATGCCGGGGCGAAATATTAACCTTTACTGATTTGTGTGTTTGTTGTTGTTTATTCTCGTCGCGTTGCAGTGCTCCTTATTTACCACTTTCTTTTTTTTTGTCGTCCAAAGATTTTCTAACGTGTAATACGGTTTTCAGATTTGTATTTCCTTCGAAAAATAGCTTCTTTTCCATTCAATCAATTTACAGAGTTTTAATCAAGCAGAGTCATGCTGAAAGCACGGGTTGATAAGAGACTCAAAAATAGCATGCAATTTGCTCTGGCAATCTGTTTCTGCTTGACCAGTTCGTTTGGCTGCATAAACATGACGAGATTTTTTAATTTTCCAGTCGTCATTTGCCATATCTATATACACGAGTTTTTTGTACATGCTCGGCCTTTTCATATTTTCTACATCCTTCCCTCCATAATAAATTTTCTACTACTGGGCTGACGTTACTATAGCTTTCATGACCAACAAACTCGATTCTTCAAGTGAGCTACCAACATGAACTCTGCATCTAATGACTTTCCTTTGGGCTGTACGCAGTTTATTTCGGAGGTTTAAAGTTTGATTTGATAGGTCGGTGGCTTAAAAATCCCATCCCTTGTCGCTAATAGGCTTGGATATAACAGTTGAAGGCTAGGTTTGATGTTGATTTGCCCTAAATCGCTTTTCGACGTGTCGCAGTTGTGGATGATGTCAGGTTGGATACGAGATTGGCGGCTGTGTTGATTGTCTTACTGACCAACATTCTCAATGGAAAGTCAATTCGGACTTTCTGGGGCCTTAGTAATTTACCTAATTGGTAGTCTTTGTTGGCCTTTAAGAAGTTTTAAAGGCCTATATAGGTCTTTAAAGTAATTAAATCTCATCTTGAAATCAGGTAAATCTTGAAAACCAGCACTGCTTAAGGGCTTACCCTCTTTAAATATTTGAAAATGAAATGAATTTGTTTATGAAACGCTGCTTTTATTATGTAATGTGTGTGATGTCTTTTTCGTCTTGTTTGTGCTTCTTTTATCAACCAAAACCCGTCGAACATCGAAAGCTTGTAATATAAGCACTGGCATTCATCTGAATATCAAAGAAAAACTATACGAATATATATAATCGCTTCAACAAACTGTTTTATCTGCTTTACGCTATACATTCTAAAGAAAAGAGGCCTACACGATGCCAAAGAAATATATTGCTAGCTGAAGAATACGTATTTCAGCCAGTAAGTTGAGAAGCATAAATAAGAGAAAAAATGTTAAGCAAATTTCTACTTTATCATATTCAGTATCTGTCTACCCTGAAAATTGTATGAATTATATACTATGTTTCATTTGCATCTTGATTGATATCGTTCTCTTTTTTTAATGATATATCTACGATAAATATCGTATTTCCTTTAGCACACGTTCTTTAAAGGCGTCATGTTCTCAGATGTGCTTGAATGTGCTCACACAAGCAAGGAATACACTTTGGAAGAATTTCACAACATGCTACGGGTAATTCACCACCGATTTCTTTAATCAAAATGCAATAAAACAGAACGATATCATCCACGAAGTAATTATTTGGTATTTTGCGTATTCAGATCTGATTGCTTGCAAAGACAGCGCAAAGCGATGTTTTTTAGGAGGCACGGCAAAACGCACGCTGTTGGTTGGGTGCCTGATACATCCCAACTTGTGGTTCTTTTGAAACTTGACCTTGTGCTGATTTCAGCTTGCTTTTTCATGCATTTTGTCTAGGATACCAAAACTATCGAGGCGTTGTGTCTCTTTGCATCTTAACTCTGGTTTCCCATGCAATAACCAACAATTGTACAAATGTAACCTCGTTTTTAGAATTACTAATTTTTTGTTAAGATGTTTTTAAGAATCTAAGTGTTGCCTTTCAGGAATGTCTTATCAAAATGGACATGATCGACACTAACATTCTGGGTGCCACAGTGAAGCAAAGTGAAGCAGGAAATGTGTCAAAATTTTTAAACAGAATTCTAGGCCTCACAGTAGAAAGGCAAAATTTAGTAAGTGTTTTTTACATTCCATGGGCATTCCATGGAAATTCTGATTTACAAAATTGATTAACTGAAAAATTCAATTTTGTTTGTGCCCATTGCCAAGTGATTGAAAAGCTAGTTTTTAAGTAATTTTTATAAATAATTAAGAAATTGTCTTTTTCATTGATGAAGATTTTAATTACAATTTTTGCTTTTCTTTGGAGTTTGAGAATAAAATTGTTTTCGTACACGCAGGAAAGTAATTTTTCCTTGTGTTTAGTTCACAATAGAAGTAAAAAGCGTAGTACTTCTATTGTGAAATTCTTAGTGCTTTTCAATTCTCCACATGTCTTGTACTAGTGAGTTCACAGATCTAAAGTGGTCGCCCGAGCTCACCAATATTTTTTCTTTTACGTATATCATTATTTTCCTTCATCTTTTCCATTGCAGATATTTTCATACTTTTATGAAGGCATGAAGTCTTTAATTAGGGCAGCAAAAAGAGATGGAAGGTGAGCAAAAACTTTCTTTTAAAGAAAAAGTCGGTAAAAGAGTATTTTCGGCCTTTATTCAAATGTTTGAATGCAAAATCAATTGCCACAAGTTAAGCTGGTAACTATAAAATGAATTTGAACTTAGTGGTTAAACGTTTAACCGTCATCTTTTATGTTTCCTATATAATTGAGGTAGAGACTTCTTTCTCTCTTGTTTCAAACTGACAATAACTATAACCTATCGTCTATATTTGTAATTCTTTCTTGATTTGGTTGACCAGCTTGTCTTTATCTTTCAAGAGAGGGTAACTATCATATTTGCCAAGTGTCAGAATGTTAAATGTTACATGCATACATTTGAAAATTAAAGCCACGCCATTGTTTATCATTGTTTTGATCCTATCAAAGTTTTCAAGAGATTTTATCTCGTCCTGTCTACAATTCCAAGTTTCAGGACCTATTACCTTGAAGTTTATAGGTCATGAAATTGAACCAAAAGCTTGTCTAAGTTTTTAGGTTATCAAAGATGATCAAATTTGAACAAATTTGGAGATGAATATTTAAGATTTTAAACAAGAGAAATCTTTTATATTTCTGTAAAGTAATTAAGTCTCATATGGTATTTGGCTATTTGGGTATGTTGGTCATATGTAGTTTTAATTCTAGTATTTCACTTAAGGTTTCGACATTGTACAACGCTTTTAGATTTTTTTCTACACCGTTATCTATCTGCCAATCAATTTTAGTCAAATATATGAAATGGATGCAGAAAACGGACCTGAAATAACTTAGTCATCTGCTCTTGTCTCTTTCAGATACAACGAAGGTGTTACTGACGTCAGAGGCAACTCTATCAAACTGGTCCAGGAGCCTGTGATTGTTTTCTCCGAAGCTCAAATATCCTCTGTAGTAACAAAGTATATCATCTTAGCTATTCATATCACTTACTTTATACAGCTTGATATGTGTATTTTAGTGTATGAGTATTGATCTATGCATTGCATGTTCATAATATCTTCAAGTGCACTACTTTACGGACTGTTTTTGCTTTCAATACCACATTTTAGGAATCCATTTTGCTGTCCTCTTTTTGTTGTGTTTCGTTTTAATATTTGCTATTAATCGTTTGTGTTACAATATACATTTAGCTGATACAATGATGTATGTTTCATAAATTTGTTGTAATTTGGTTTTGCACGTTGCTGGTTTTGTTTGTACAGTTACCAAGGATTACAATAAAACTTTTTCGAAGTTGTCCTCATGACAAGTTATTTTTCTGTAAAATTTTAGAATGTTTTATAAGAGCTTTGGCTTCTTCGATGAACCTGCTATCTTCAGGGTTCATGTTTTTCCTTATAAATGCAACTATGTCTTGAATTCATGTTGAGAGTGTGATTTCCGTTTTCAGGCATGTCGTATTGTCTATTGATCGTGGACTTAGTTGGGAAAAGGCTTTGAATTTACAGGAAAGTCATTCCGGCAACTTGGATGGGTTTTATTGCTCGAAAAAGGAACAAAGGGGCAGACGACTCTATTTATTGGCAATTGAAAAAGATCAAGCAACGAATTTGTTTATAATTTATAGGTAAGTTACTTTCAAGGTATTGCCGGTATGCCAGATAAAATGTATGCAGGAGGCAACAAATTTGCCCATTCAAATAGTTATGCCAGAATAGTCATGTCGGCTCTTTTTAAAAAATATGACGAGAGGAAAAAATTCTGGTCTCAGGTCAAAAACTTTTTCCAAATATGACGAGAATTTTAGTGCAAAAAAGTTGAATACGATGCGAATTTTTAGCACATTTACACGATAATAGATGGCCATTCAATTTGCTTTCGGCGAAAAATATGATGTGAATATGACTTGAATTTGATCGTGTAATCCTACCTTTTTGGTTTCAAAACAAATCTGGTTTGACCGTTCACTGTTTAATTTCAATTTTAAACAAAGATTTTCCATTTCTAGCTTTATTTTCAACGCCTATTGTATAACATTTTCAAATTTGGCTAAGCTAAATTTAGCTTTCCAATGAAAACTTTGAAACTTTACTTTTAAGTTTTTGTCACATCCAACTGCCCAGGTTAGAAACAAACATCCCTTTGAAACTGCTTTGTGAATAAATTAATAAAGATTTTTCAAGAGATAATTGTTTAAGTAAATCTTGCTTCAAGTTTGCCTTGATTTAGGTTATTTGTTTATAATACTTTAATAAATTTGATGTTATGTTTAATTGGTTTATTTACTTTATAATAGGCGTTCTCTACCTGACTCATCCAGATAAGATCTTCAGCTTCTAGATCTTCTTTGTAAAGCCAATAAATTAAATGTTTGACCCCGTTTCTATAATATGGCTGCTAATGATTCAACTTTACGCGAGTTTAACTATTTTATTTCGAAAGGCCGAATACTGGAATGTCACCTTTTGAAGAAACAAAAGATGACCTTTTGCAGAAATATGGGCATGTTCAAGCGAGCGACGCAGGTACAGAGCTCCACGCCTTACTTAATCCTGTACTTTTCGTCATCTGGGTCTTTATAATGGGATATCCATCAGCATAGACTGCTGCAAACCTCTTTAGTATCAAGCTCGAAGTTTCAGCAAGGAGTTATGTTTTCGTGTTAAGCTATTTTCTTGACTTAAGAGCAAATAGTAGAGCATAGGCAAGTCTAGGCCCTGTAAGCCTACGAAGTTCCAGAATCATATGATAACGGACTTTCGTTTTTGTTTCGTTTCTGCAGAAAAAGACCTTGAACACAACTCGTTTGCGATATTGCCATATCTTCGAATATATTTTTGCAGCTTTTGTGAAAGTTTCAGATATAATTGAATTGATAAAAGTGGTAATACTTTATCAATGTTTTTTACATCTCCGGTTCTGCTGTCAGATGAAAAATTAACTTGGTCTACTGCTTGAGCATTGCTGGACAGTGCTTTCTTAAGCTAAGGGATTTAACCTTCATATCAGCTGTAATAGTATTCTTTCAGAAGCAAAGAGATTTCTATTGGCCAATAACCGTAGCTAAACGGCAATCATAGCCATTACCTATGGAAGTGATAACTCTCACACTCAAAAAGGCAAGCTTTTCTCCTAAGGGATGCTGGAAGGTAGAGGGTCCTCCTGGCCCACGGGGTAATTTCCCATAAGTATAAGCATTCGGGACGCACCAAATTCGACAATATCTTTGGCACCATCATTAGAGTGTCAGAAATTGCTTGGAGGATGCTCCAGCTATTTGTCTTCGCATTCAACAAGATAGAACTAATCTTGCCAATTTCTTAGGTTTCCTTTCTCTGAGAATAAATCATTCTTTGCTTCTTATTGATGATGTATTATATAATTATTTGCTAGAGTCTGGATGGAAACTGCAGTATGAAAAGACCGAATCAAGCTGCATTCATGGCTCAAACTGCAAGTCTGGTCCAGCCTGCTCAGGTGCATTTCTGTCTCTTTTAATTACGCTATTTTTATAAGGCTTTTTTGTGACTTGTCTTTTTCATATTATTTTGATGCAAAGTTTTTGGTTTATGCCCAAAATTTGTCTTTAAGTCGGCATGAAAACAGATGGCAATTATAGTAATTTATCTACAATACATTACGTATACACCTTTGGTGGGCGAACCTCGAAGGGAGAAGGGTGATGTCTGTACACCAATTACATCAGTGGATAATAGCAAATTCGATGTAGCATTTAATGCAAATGATACTTAAATCCTTGCCTTTTTAACAAAGCATTAAGTTATTTAATATGGGGTTGTACTTGAATTCTTTCCAGTGAATGTAGAATATCACATTTAAAATGCTAAACAGAATCGTGTGTAGTTCAAAAGGGACGTTTATCACTTGTTAAGCAAACATTTAGAAACGACTTCCTTCCATTAAAATTTGTTGCTGGTTTTACTGTGACCTAAGAAAACCTCCATGTGATATTATAATCTATCAACTTGGCTGCCTGGTTGCAGGCATGCTTGTTCTGTTTGTTTAATGGATGGTAAACCTGTAGAATTTGTAAACAAATGTCGGAAGGTGGTAGCCAGGCGCCTGTCTAAGATATTATAATGAGATAAAAAAAGGATACATGCTGAAAAAGGATTAAATTTACATTTAGCAACAATAGTTGCTTAGTATCCGAGCAGCATCAAATTTTAAAACAATCGTTTTGCCCTGTAACAATTCAGTCTTAATCCCTGTTTTATTGAATTTCATGGCGTCTATTTTTACTTCGACTGTGAAGCGAAACTGTACTTGAAATGCTATTATTGTGTTGAGTCATCTGCGGCATGAACGTCAAAGCTTTTGGAACGCGAATGAAGTACAATAAATGTATATCATTGTAAAAGCAAAACAAAAATTGTCTGTTCTTGATAACTAAGTAATTTATGTGTTCAAAGACAGCACAACGATTTCAACCACGTGGCTCTATTAGTTTGTTTACACAAAGTTTAGGCCTTGTCTGCTAGGGTACGTGTTCAAATGATAACAACCGGTATGCTTGCATTTTTGTCATTATGGCAACAGTTGTGTTAAAGCTGGCAATGCAAAAGGGCTAAAAATGATGTTAATGTCTACGTTTTAATTACGTCATAAAAGATTGCATTCTCTAGTAGGTAGTCTGAAAAATAAACTATTCAAGGACCTCCTTCGTTCCATTTGATGGTTCTGCAAATTATTTAAGTAGGTACTTGAGTCTGAGTTCCTTCGTCCCCCTGGGTCTCATCCCGAGCTGGAAATGCGGCTACGCAGCAGTCACCGGCAATTGTGCCTGCTACACCCCAGCCTAATTAGGCACCAGCAGACGCAATTCGGTAGTTCGCAGACATGGAGGCTGGGTTATAGATAACATAGACGGAAAACAAATGGATTACCTTTCTTTTATTTGTGCACCATTTTAACATTGCTAACAACAAATTTGTGATGAGTTGTTTTTAATGAAAAGACAGGTGCTTAGATATCAGTATCAGCTAGGATTTTCCTAGGGAAGAAAATTCTGGAAATTGAAGGAAATCAGAAAGAAGCCTAAGAATAAATGTTTCTTAGCTCAGTATTTCTGTAATATAAAGATTTTTTATTTGAAAAACGATCTTTAAGCAAGATTTTAATTTTCTTTTAGTTGGTTGTCGTATAACTCACCTTCATCTTCTCTGCGGAGGAATTATCTCACTGCTCAGCACATTGGAGCTTGTTGTCAATCGTTACGCTGAGGGACTGGGCCTAACGTGAGTGCTTCAACCATCAGAATGTCAATGAATTGCCTGCTTATATGGCTGCCTTTATGGCTGCTCAGGCCATTATTTTGGGAAATTTCGCTGAGAATAACATCTAAACTTGCATAAAGGCGTATCTCTAATCAATTTCGATTTCCTTTTTGAGGTGGCATAATGCAACAGTTTTAGCTATCTTAAGCGTTTTATGAAGTAAAGGAAATGATTCTATCTCCTAAATGCAAAGTCAGGCTGCACATAATTGAATTTTTTTTGAGTTGGTAGTTTTTATCCCCTAAATGCAAAATCAGGCTGCACATAATTGAAATTTTTTTCAAGTTAGTAGTTTAATTGGCCTGAATCAGGTTTTGGGTAAGTTGTAGTTCTGTTTACCATTAAAACGTGCTTGCTAAGACCACACAATTCATTTTGTATGGGGGACATAGGGTGACATAATTAAGATTATTTTGTAAATCTGGATTATGGTCACTTCAGGCGGGTGGTGTAGCCTCTTTAGAAGCTTTGCCATAAATAATGAAAATAAAGGTTTTATTGTTGCAAAAGTGCGGTGGCAAAAGCCTGATTTTAGCTGCAATTTTCATTAACCTTCGTCTTGTTTTTTGTTGTTGTGTTAATTCGGGTCGAAATAAGTTCAATATTGCTTTTTAAGTTTGTTTTTGTGAACAATTTTATTTGAGACGCATGGCCAAAATTGAAGAGACAAAAGTGTATATTTTTTTGCAGAAATTACTGACAAGATGATAATTGTACATGGAAAATAATGCTATGGCTTCGCACCAAAACCAGCTTCTCACAATCTAGATAACGTACACCATCCCCCCCCCCCCCTAAAGTTTTCTCATCGGGTTTGCAAGAATCTCAAGGACCAACTTTGTGAAAAAATGGGGGGGGGGCTAGTCCCCCCATTCTTCCATTCCCCCTCCCTTGGCTCCGCCACTGGTCGGCCTCGCATGTTAATGGTCTTCCCTGCATTTTATGTTGCGCAAATTTGTATGTCTTCAAACATACTATTAGTATAAATGAATTCAAAGAATTTTTGTGTATATCATATTACTTTTCTTTCTCTTGTGAAACTGAGGAAGATTTAAAAGAAGATGAATGCAGTTTAGAGGTTATTCGGAAGTCTGCGATAAATGAAATACGAAATGCCTTATTCCTGATGCAACTTTTTTTATTCAGGGGCATCAATGATGTTATTGCTTCATAATTTCTATTCAACAACTGAATCGCATTTTGAAACTCATTTGCTAACTTTGTTAACAGGAGAGAAAACAGGGCGCTTCGCGTCGTGCGTGTGGAATTAGATGATGGACAGAAACTCATTGGCTTAAAGTACCCGGATGTTCTCATAAGTGAAGTATCGAAGTTGCTCAAAGACCAGAAAGCAAATTCGAATGATAGAACTGTAAGTGTGTGCAAAAATCTTTTTGTTTGCTGGAAGGGGGGTTTGTCAATTTCCTGCCACCATGCTCCGATTTCGTCCTTTACGTAGATTGTTTTAACCGAACTTCAGATTGCGAATTTTGAAGAGAATATGAGCTGTGTTTATAATAAGAATATTTCATTATTAATTCAGACTATTAGGCTATTTTCTTATCATTTTGCGAAAAAATGTTTATGAGTTTTGAGTAAATCTTTTTGTGAATTCCGCAGACGATCAAATTTTTCTTTGCGTTTGTTTAATTTTTCAGATATTACCACGAGTTTCCTATTTCAACAATAAAAGATCTATATTAATATCTGCAGAACAACGTATAAACCCTCACCCCCCCCCCCCCCCCACCTCTACGACCAACTGACTCACGCCCAGTGCCTTTTTAGTTTCGCTCCCTTACATGAGACTTTTGTCTGTCTAGTAAGGAAAGCATTAATACATATTATCCACCGAACAATAAATTTAAATATTTAATAATATTTTTGAAAGCTTGCAACACGAAAATCCTTTTTCAAGCCCAATTTACACAAGTGACTTACACAACAGAATTACTACTCAAGTAAGTAATAGGTATTTGTACAAATATCCCAATTATTTACAATAACAACGTTAATAAAAGATGTCATGTTAAACCGATAGGATAAAATGCTACCTCAAATAGAAGTTATGTTATTAAAACCAGATTGAAGTTTGCATTCACTTACATTAACGATGGAAATATTAGTTTGCAAGTCAATAGTGTTTAATTTGCTACTAACCTAAGCCAAATATCGTGATTATGGATGGTTGAAGTAAATGAAAACAGACGTATTAGTGTGGTGTGTCAAAATAACAGATGAAGGCTATACCCAGATGAAGGATATTTCACGAAAATTTGATTTTTTTTAAGCCGTAGTGAGAGGGAACTGAGTATCCCGGATGTAGCAGAATATTAAATATGTTTCAGCATAGCATTAGTTCTTTTCTTTCCGCTTGGGATTTCTCTGGAAACCCCTGGGACCTCTCTTGTGACAGCTATCTTTTTCATTTTTGACATACTTGTCAAGATTCAACGCTTTTACCCAGAGTTCTCTGCAAAGGCGTTTTATGAAGACTTAAGCAATAATCCTAGGATGGAAGCTTTATCGCTTTGCTTGCATGTTGACATCATGTTTCTACTTTTTTGTGCTCATTTTTCTAAATATTTGATACATCGTCAAAAGGTTTAATAAAGTTATCTACCAAAGTCTTATATAAACACACATGTTAAAGAATTGAGGTTACAGCCATAATGAATCCGATAAAATGGCGATGACTGGTAGAGCTATTTTAGCTTTTTAATATCTTTCCTTTGGGTCATTTTCTGTCACGATTTAGCTTAGATGTTAATCCTGATCAGCCTTTTCTATTCCTTATTATTGTTACCATGAAGACTTTTTCAGTTTTCAGGAATACGGGATGCTATCGACAGCTGCCACACTGGCTGAGGGTTATTATAATGAAATATTTTCTATAATGTATGCGCTGATTACTAAGATACAGGTTCCCTTTATTTCACTGAGGGGGTATTGGGGGTTTTGGGACACCCGGAAGACACCCAGCCCCGACTTTCCTCCTTTATTTCCTCCTCCTCTTCTTCCTTCTTTTCCCTCTTTGTTTCTAGCGTTTTTACGATGAATTTGTTCTGTCTAGGAATATTCGATGGTAATCGAGAATGCATCGTCGGTGAGTGAATACTTACGAAGCAAAGCGACAACACCTCCACTCACGCTAAAGAACTTCTTCAAAGTGAAGAAAAAGGACTCCGTAGATAGAGAAGTTGGGGTGTGTATTCATGATGATGTTAAAACAGACAATTGCAAGGAGGGCACTGATACGATCGGCGAAGGTTCTTCGGAAATCGAAGAGGCGGCAAAAAAATTAAAACCAAGAAACTCACAGAATCCTGTGGTAGGAAAGAAAGAGAAAACTTCAGTATATTTTAAGCGATCGTCCTCATCAATTGAAAGCAAAACATTTAAACAGAAAAGCTTAAGTGTTAAACGGAACGCATCTTGTAATTTGTTACCGGATCAGAGCAAGCGACAAAAGCAATCGAACCTTATGAACTCTTTTCAAAAGCGAAAGCCTTCAAAATCATTAGACTGTCCTATATGCGAAATTAAATTTGATGTCAATTTAAGTAATGAAGAAATTAATAAACACATCGATGGCTGTCTTATCGAATAACCGATTTTTATCATTTAAATACGTCTGAATTTTAAATTTGTAACCTTCTACAAAATTCGTATTTGTAAAAAGATGCATTAAAGGTTGAATTTTTTCTGGTTACATTTCATGTTTTGTTAGGTTCATGGTTTTTGTTTTATTCATGTTACTTATAGTATGCCTATATTTTTCGTGATCCTTTGCCCTTGTAAATCAGGCTAGGTATATATTCAATTTTTTATCGTGTTATCGGTGTTTTCTGAAGACAACCTTGCTGACACCCTCGCTCTAAAATGAAGTTCATTAAATGACCAGTTATTGGATAAAATAACATTGTGCATACGCCACAGAACATTGCCCTGTTGGTAATGTAAGCGAGGGTTAGCCCAGAGCCTCTTTTCCTTCTCGAATTTTGCAGATCTGGTACCCAGGGTATCCAGGGTAGACGTCATAGCGCCCTAGTTTTCAAGTGTAAATCAGAATATCCGAACGAAGGAAAGCTGTAACCTGTTGCTTGGAGGTCTAGATAAAAATTGGGGCAGCCATTTTTGTAATCAAAACCTTATGGCATGAAGGTGAGCAACAAATGCTGCCGAAAAATGTTTGACCATGGTCGAACATTTGGGCAAGAAAATTTTTACTTTGGGATAATGATACCGTAAAAGCTCTATTAAGCCCCCTCTCTCTATTAAGCCCCCTCTCTCTATTAAGCCCCCTCTCTCTATTAAGCCCCCTCTCTCTTTTAAGCCCCCTCTCGCTATTAAGCCCCCTCTCTATTCAGCCCCTCCCAATCAAGCAAAAACTTAAAATAAGCCCCCACTCTCTATTAAGCCCCCCTCTTTAGCCTTTGTTGTCAAACAAAGCGCGCATCTAGAGGGTCTCTTAACGGGTGTCATGATAATAAGATCATGGGCATTAAATACAGCCAATGTAAAGGCTTACATACTTGTGCGCCTAAGAAGTCAGTTGAAATTTGTTTAGAAAATGTCTCTGGGTTATCAATTGATCCCGACAAAATTTGTATGACATTTTTATAACAAAAAATAGACAAGGGCATTTTAAAAACATTTCTTTCTTCAAATTTTTGATATGCCCCCTCTCTCTAATTAATCCCTCTCTCTCTCTTTTAAGCCCCCCTCTAGGACTGAAAAGAATGAATAAGCCCCCCTGGGAGCTTAATGGAGCTTTTACGGTACTTGGATATCGAAACAAATTGAGAGCAGTAGTTTCATTATGCTGCAGGTACAGGCAGTACAATACAGATGCTAGAACCGTGTACCGTTCATTTTGGTCATAGGATTTAGAAAATGTTTCTTGGTCACCCAGGCTAATTATTGCCCTTTGACATTCCTCTTTGCATTAGCTGTCCTCTTCTGCATTGCATTTATCTATCATTGTTTGAGGTGTTTCTCAGCCAATTATTGAGTCATTATGAGTCAAAAAAATTATAGTGTTGAGCTTAAGTATTGTCTAAAAAATAACCAAGATGTCCAAAGATAATGATGAATCAGGATGTCTTGTTCCAAAGGAGCTCCTTTCAGACAACTCCGTGTTTGCGATATGTGAAGAGGACATGTCAATCACAAAATTGCAAAATATTTCAAGATTTGCATTCTTAGATCTTGTGCATGTTAAAAAGAAATAGATTGAAGCAAAAAAGTCAACACGCACAAATTTCCCACGATGAAAAGAAAATAAGCGCGGCTCTCCTTGAAGGTCCAATTGACTGAGAGTTTTCAAACAGGCCCCTACACAGTATCGGCGGGGATCTGGGAACATGGTCGGCCTTGTAGATGTGATCATGTTTGCAGTACTGTTTTATGCATAACAACCTCATGATTTTGACCAAAGCAAGGCTTCCAATACTAATTTCATGAAGTCTGCAAGGCGGCGAAAAACTCTGTTTTGACTTCCCCAGTTTTGCACTTCCAAACTAGACAGATGACTCTAAACTGGAACACTTTGTAAAATCATAAAAAGGAAAACCAGGAATCTAATTTGCAAAAGGTGAGAAAACGTGTTCCAGTTCCTGATTAAGTGAAACTCAGACCTGATTGGTTAGCACCTCGTCATCTTGAGTTGAATCTCTCAGCACACCCCACAAAAAGTCTTTGTAAAGATTATTTTACCTTGTCTTCTACAAACCCTATAGACGAACGGACGAACAAAAGAGCACTTTCATAACATACCTATCTTTTTTGCAGGGCTAAATCCTAGCTAGTATCACAAGAAAAGGACTACTAGAAATGACGTTAGATAGGCTTTTGCTGAAGTTTAAGGTTTCATGTTGAATTGGATTGGAACTTTACTGTTTCGCTCGCATATGCTCCCAGCAGCACGGCCAACATTGTGTCAATCAGTTCTTGGTAATTCGTGCAAACCATTTCTTGCGTATCGGAATCGCAACTGGCAAGCAAATTGTCAAACACTATTTCTGTTCTTTCCATTTGTATTTGTGCCCCTTACCAGGGCCTATTTTAAGAAAAAATTTTAATACTGCACATTTATAACTATATTTTTTATAGGAAATTTTGTTGTTGCAATTTTTAGAAATTTCTAGTCATTTCGTTTTGTTTTAAGTTTTGATAAGAGAGTCTTTCCGATACGAGATTTGCATTACATGACCTCTATATCGAACCGACGGGGAAAATTCACATTTTGTGAACAAAGCGAGAATCTGGGATAGCGGCAATTAGACATTTTCACAAATCCCAAAATTCAATACTGCACATTTTCGAAATCAATACTGCACATTTTTAAATTTATACTGCACAAAGTGTGTAATACTGCACACTAAAATAGGCCCTGCCCCTTACAACTTTCACTGCTTTGTTAAAGGTTAAAAGTTTCAAAGCTTACAATCACAACCAAAATTACTTGGAAGTGGAACACCCAACACTTTGCGCTGTGCTTTTCTATTTCTCATTTGTTTTCCCGAATACTACTACTTCCGTCCCCCTTTCCCTCCAAAACAATGTTTAAAGTATAGAAAAACATCAAACAAGCCACAAGAAAAAGCATACTCCGTAACCCCTTTCTTTTTTTCTATAGTAAATCAACATTGTTCTTAGGGGGAGAAGGGGGTGATTGAATTTGCCTTTGAATACCTACGTTAGTGCTCCAAGACTTTTGGCAGCGATTGTACGTTGATAGAGAGATTCAAACAAAACGTAAGAACTGGTCCTTGCAGCGTTATAACATAAGGCAAAAGCTAACTTTAAAGTAAAGACTTCATTTGTCTTCATAGAATGATGAATATCCCTAGCTCTAATGAAATATGCCTACTCCAATTTTTAAACAATTGTCCTGTCAGCACACATTCCATAGAAGAAGACTGAAGTGTCCTGTTGAAATGAGAAGGGCCTTCGTTGAATCTGATGAAATTAAAATACTTTAGCAAATTGAAACAAACCAGATTTTCATATGGAAAGGATTCGATGGCCAAAGGTCTTCGCGATCCAAAACGGAAAGTCTGCGGCGAATCTGCGCGGAGTTGCTAACCTTTGCTTATCAATACCAAAATTCCCAATACACTCTCTTGAGAACAACGTCTACAATTATTGATAATTAAGCTATTCCGATGCACAAATTCATCATCATAATTTCTTCTGCAATTTGTTTTGGTAAAAACAGTGCATGTATTTTATTCTAGAGTAACATTGCTGTTGAAAAATTACACATTGCTTTCTCTTATGGTAGTTATTTAAATAAAGTAAATAAATGCTCCCCCACAGCCAATTACTGTTTGACATTCATGTTAGCTTCTGCTATTAAACCTACCTGCAGCCTCCACACAGCCTGCACCGCTTATTCAGCTTTTCTACAGCCAGCCAGCCTTGATAATTTGGTGACATTATAGGCGTAGCTCTAATACCGAGAGAGGCTGTTTGATAATCGTTGAAAATCAGAAAAATTGCAGGAAGGTACAGAGGGAATTTCCAGCCTTTCTTCCCAAGAAAGCCTACTTGCACTCCTGCAATAATTGATTTTGTCCAAAATTTATAGTTCCATTAGTATTTAATTATGTGAATGTTTTAATCAAACCTGTTTATAAGAAGCAGTAATTTGGAGTTTCCTTTTTTGGTCTGTTATGCTAGAGAGTGGCCTGGGAGCCTACAGCAAAGCCCTAACAAGCGAAAGAAGGGAGGGAAGAAGAGAGGGGGGGAAAACAAGTTTGTTGGCTTTAGTTTTGATTAAAGACCGGCTACAAATGTATGAGAAGCAAGGGAAAGTAATAGCGTTCCGAAGTTTAAAAACACGAGGAGGAAGATTGAGTTGTGGGAAGTCGAGATTTCGTGGCGAAAAGACTTGAAAGGGAAGCACTGAAAGAGTGTTTGGTTCATATCTCTAGGAGTAATTCTATGGTAGAATCTATAAAGATTTGAGAGATTTGTAAGTAAGAATATTCTCCAAAATGTCAATGGGACACAATGGCAAAAATTGTGGATGATACAGAGAACAATCTGGAATACAGTCTGTGTTTCGTGTTTGAATTTGCTTATTAGAAATAGGCAATACGTCACACTAACAAATATAAATTCTTTATAGAACAGAGCGAAAAAGATAAAACAAAGAAAATAAAGAAGGAAGTCAACCAGAAGCAGCAACCAACTTCTGCCTTTGTTTCTGAAGATGGGATAATAATTAAAGTTATGAGAAAATGATAACAACAACTAACTCAGCCAACTGATTTCGAGCCTCGTGGGAATCTCCGGGTAACCCACAGAGATTAGAATCCCAAAAGACAGGGGTGGGGGTACCCAGTGAGTCTGGTACCCAGGGTAGGGTGGGGGGACCGTGCTGCACCAACACTACCCAGGGAGAGGGGAAGTTCACTCTTCGCAATTGCATACGAGATTCTCACGAATACAAAAGGATTTCAAAGGATTTTCAGATAAAACAATAGGAATTCTACCAAAGGTGTGCGAGATTTTCATGGAGTGATTTGCCCCTCAACCCTGGGGTTCTTTTAGGGTTGTGACATGTCAAACATGATCTAAATATTTTGATCAAAGTGATCAACCATGATCTAAATATTTTGTAGAAAGAACTAATACGAAGACTATCACTTTATGCACTGTCACTTTGGCCACAGGAACGAACGTTTTATGTGGGATGGGGGAGGCAATGGCAGAGGTACCCTGGG